ATAAGGCAATCCTGTAGCAGACAGCATGTAAAATAGCATTACTAAATACTTCTTGTGATTTAACAGTTGTATCAGCGTTTTTGTAGCTGGAACAGTGAGTTATTCATAAGATGTAATGGCCTGGCAAATTATGTAGTGCCATGGTTGAACGTTTAGACTTTGAACATGGGCCATAAAATCTGATATTAAACAACTGAGAATACTATTGGGAAATGTTTCCTTTTTTTCTTGGAAACAGTTTACAATCAGTGTCAGTACTACAAGTGAATTATGAAGAAAATATGTCTTCTTTTCACAGACAGTCCTTGAAGGCTGGACTTCAGTCCTGCCTCTTAGTTACATTTTGTGAATTTCTGTACTGGGTATAAGTTTATTCTTTGCCCATAGGAAACATGCACTAGCAATTTAGTATTTTTAAATAGTTTAGAAGTTCCAGAGGACTTTGCAGAAGTCTCTTGTTAAGTCCTTCAAGAATCAAATATTTTGAAAAACTTCAAGAGTTCTCTGGGGCATTTGAATATATTTCTTGACTGTATTTTGGAATTGGGAGTAGGGAGAGCAGTCAAAAGAGAGCATGCTAGTCATGGTTATATCTATAGTTTGAGAGAGCAAGGATTGCATCTCAGTTCTTGAATAATCAAGGAGCTGAGCTAAAACTGCCAATGCAACAATGAGGAACTTTGTTTAAAGACTTCTCCAGTTCAAAGGTGTAATGCAGCAGACGTGGCTGTTAATGGATTGCTGTCATGTAACCAGAGAATTTAAAGTTCCATTAATAATTCAGTACTTTAAAATGAAATTATTTATGCCTCTTATTGCATTGTTCTGCCAGTGTATAGAAGTATTTTACTTTAATGTATTCTCTTCAAAATATGTGAATTCAAAGAAAGTGCAGCTCTCTAGGCTTGTTCTGTTTCCTGTCCTGGAGAAAAGCCAATATTTCTCAAACATGGCAACTACTAAAAAGAAGTTACTATGAACTATATTGTCTTTTTGTTCCACAGATGAGGAGACCCTCCTGCTTTGTTTTTTTGTTCTGTGGGGTATTTTTGCCTGGAATCCTCAGTTTTCCACAGACAAACACCTCAATCGATTGTGATTCTCTGTTACCAAACTATGAAACTGAACCACAGACATCTGCACCACCATATATTATTGCTGTATCTTTTGATAATTTTGAGCCAGGAAATGAAATCCAAGGTAAATAACCTCAACAACATAATAACATCTTCGTGTCTTCCAGAAATACCAGTCTTCATAAAAGTTCCCCCATTTCCTTCTCAGTCTGAATAATTTACTTTTTTACTTCAATCTTGTTCATCTATACCTGATACATTATTATTTTTTAGATTTTTTTATAGATGTATGTATAACTCAAAATGTATTCTTTCTTTTTTCTTTTTTCCTTTTTCCATCTAATAAATATATCTTAACTGTATGCTGTAATTTTTGTAACAAAATTAAAATTAAGTAGGACGGCTGGCCAAACTGGACTAATAATTAGTTGCTCATTAACCTTGTATTTGAGTATTTGCTGTTGAACCAGGCCTCTGCAATACAAAGGGATCCTACTCATTGGTTGTTCACATGCTGTCATCTTTCAGGAAAATAAAAATTCAGGACGCAGTATGAGACAACTCAAGAGTGAGACACTTTGAGTCATCCTTCTAAGAACTGTATCCCAGATTTTATCAAATTGCAGGGGGTGGAGCTATTGTGGTTTAAACCACCTTTTTATCTTCCTAATCCTAAATTGCTCTCTGGATGAGACACCTTAACAGCCTTGTTTCTCCATACTATGATGCCATCTCATAGTGCTGTCACACTTCAAGTGACTTGTGAATGCTTCTTTTTCTGACCATTCATGCTACAAGGAGCATGGAAGTGGAAGAGCGTTGTAGCCTGTTACGTGTCTGGTTTTGTATCTCAGTAGCTGAAAAAGAGCATTATTCACTAAGTAGCTACTGGATGCTGTTTTACTTGAACCATGTAGCATGAATGTGGCTTCCATAGAGAGTGATATATAGGGGGAAAAGAACGGAGAAGCATCAGAGCCCTAATATAGCTGCCATTCTTGGAAAAACATGTGAATAGCTCCTTCAAAGATGGGAGGGCGGTTTGATTACAGATAGCTACTTTTAGAATAGTATTGACAGGAAAATGGTGGATTGATTTAAGTACATGCAGTCTGTTCTGTGAGGTTAAATGGAATTTACCATGATAAAAATATTGAATCCCAGATGCTACTAACCTTGCCTTTTTTCCCCTCCTTTTTTTTTTTTATTTTTTTTATTTTTACCACTACTTTTCTATTGTTTCAAATCGTGAGCACCCAGTACCTGGTCTCAGGGAGCTGCATTAGGTTGCATTGAATATATTGCAGTTTGGTCTATGGCGTTCCATGTGCCAGCACTCTTATAGTCTCATCTCTGCTTGATTTAGCACTGCATTCAAGTGCTGGATGTCATTGCTTCTGTGAGACCTGGGGAAAATTAGTGAATTAGGGCTGAAAGTTGACAAAAAATTGGAAGGCTAATTATGCAGGTGTTTGGAAATGTTAAATTATCAGGGTAGGATTGGTCCTTGCCTTGACTTCTGTGTCATTCCACTTCATCCCTCTTTATTTTTAATGACTACACATAACCTTTGTGCATAAACCATTGTTCTGATTTTATTTGCCAAAGTGCCTAATAATGGAAGTAGCAGAGTAAAGTTTTAGTAGACCATAAAAAATTCGATTATGCCTTTTGAAATTTAATTTCTGTTTGGATATAAACAAAACAGAAGACTGCTCTTTCCCATATTTTTCTGAGCTCCTTCAGTAACAGAAGTTGAATAAAATTGGGTAGCTCATATAATTATTGATTTTTTTTACTTAATATAGAACATGAAAACGAAATTGTCTACTTTCTCTCTTTAGAGTTGTAATACATTTTAACAAAAATGTGTCTGCAATTCAGCCTTAGGAAAAAGTTAATGTTTTCTTTTAAAACAGAGGTAGAAAGAAATGCATTTCTCTTTTTCCTGTAGATATTTTGACTTTGTAGGCCTAATTAGACAGAAAATAAATAATCTTTTGGTCAGCAGGGCCACTCATCACTTGGTAGAGCAGAATTCCTTTTAAAATTGTCAGTAAATGAAAAATTTCATGCTACTTTACACAAAAGCCTCTCTCCAAATTTTTTCCTTTATAGTCATTCTCCTTATAATTAAGAAAAGCTTTTTAATTGGTTTTTAAAATTGTACACGTGTAGTCTTGTGCCTTGGAGTAAAGGAAATTAGATGTTACACATTTAGGAGGTTTTAGTAGTGTATGAAACTTAAATTTCTCAAAATGTCTCTTTTCACAGTGACTCTAGAAGCACTTGGAGAAGCTGGTTTTAAAGGATTTAATCTACAAGCTCGAGAAATAGATGGAGATACTCCTGTTGGTACTTTTAAAATTACAGATCCTAACACCAAAGGCTTGGAATGTCATAATATGACGGTATGTGTTCAGTCTTTGTAATACTTAATTAACCTTGGTTTTCTTTTAAATAGTAGAAATAGTGAGCATTTTTTATATGGCAAAGCTACTTCATCAGAAGAGGTTAAAAAAATTAGACTTTTTCAAGAACTACATGCATCCTCTATATGTGATATGAATCTAATGTAGAATCTACTTGGCTTTTTTAGGAGGACATCAGTGTTACCTTTTGTGGTAGAGACAGTTCCCTTAACAATATAGGTAAAATCACTTTTGCATCTTATATAATTATATGTATTTATTTTTAATTGCAGAATTCAGCAGTAAGTCATGCAAATTCAGATGTGAAACAGAAAGTTACAACAACATGGATTGCTCCACATGATGTTGGAGAGCTTCAATTTATGTAAATAACTATTTTTCTTTTTTATTTATTTTTCCCCTTGAAATTTTATTTCTATGGAATATTTTGAAATAGACCTGTGTTTTTGTTTCTGATGTTCTTGTCTTGCCACCATCATACTTTTTTTCATAGTTTGTCATAACTTCCCACTATATATATTGAATAATATAATTTCCATTTCAAGATATAGTGTAAAAGGTAAACACTGTCCTACAGATCTTAATATATGTAAATAATTCCATTAAGCACAGTGTTATTAATGGATCTTTGAGTAACCGGTTTTTACACTTTGACCTCTTTAATACAACAGCAACAAAATGAATGTAACTAGTTCCCTGAATACATGAAGTTCAGGCTCTGTTCAATTACACCTTTTTTCATTTTGAACAGTGGAAGAATAGTAGATTGATGTAAATTCTGCTAAAATAAATTTGAAAATCAGTTTATGACCCATGAACTAACTACTGAAACTCCTGAAACAGGAGAAGACAAATTTATCCTACTTTTAATGCTACTTTTCTTGGAGATCTGAAGCTTGTAAAAGTACCACCTGGTCTAACAAAATACATGCTTGATGTAATTGGGAAATATCTAAATATTTGACAGCTTGAATTGTTTGAAGTGCAAATTTATGATAAGGCCATCTTTGCCTTGCTTCATTATATCTTGAGGAATACAAAGAATGGGCAAAAGAACACAAAACCACAACTGCTTCCACTCATTAATGCCATGAAAATCAATTCACCATCATAGATATAGATTGTCAGAATAGGAAAGAGTTGTGACAATTCTTATGGGTGTTTGAGCTGATACTCTTCACTGAGGTCAGTATTTCTTCAAATAGTGTCCATTCCTGTTCTGCTTGTCTCAGCATCTCTTTCATTTATCTTCAAAATTATGTCAGGTGATAATATAAGTCACTGGAAAAGCATTCTGTGAAACTTGTATGGTATACCCCTAAAACCAAAATACAGTGGATTTTCTTGGCTGGGGGAAGGGAGGAGGAGAGTATATTGGTATTTTATACTGAAATATTTTGATAGAAAAAGAATTATTATTTTGGTTTTTTTCTAGTGCAACCGTTGTTCAAAATCTAGAGAATTTTTGGGTTGGAATTCAAAGCAAAACTCTCACACCTACACATTCTGAGTCAGTTAATGGGACAGGAAAAAGTAAAAGGAAGGTATGTTTTGAGTGTATTTGCATACTAGAAATTAATACAGTAAATTAAAGTATCTTTGAATTGATACAAGACATATATTTGTTGTCATTTATTCATTAAGATGACCAAAATCATTACATGTTTTCAATAATTTTAATCTGCCTAATCCTCTTACTAAAATGATGAAAAAATACAGCAATATTATTTTTCTCCCACAGAAATAAGAAAGGTAATAATCTAGTTATCAAAACAACCCATACCATAAAGAAAAAGAAATGAATATTGTTCATAAGGAGAACTGTACTGTACTTTTGGTGTACTGTGCTGTTCTTAACTCTTGCCCCAGTTCCTGGGAACTATAGCTGTGCAGCATATTCTTAGAAAGGAGTTTGCTAATTTTTTTTTGCCAAGAATTATGCTTATATGAAACATATTAAACATGATTGTCCACTTAAGTAAAGAAAGCCTGTTCAAATCAACCATATTGGTTCTTGACTGTAGCAGCACTGATTTATGAGCTTGTGATCTAGAAGAGTGAACACCTGTCTTTAGTCTCACACTTCACCAAAAGTATTTCCTGTTTCCTATAATAAACTGCGCTTTTTTCTGCAATAAATAATTTGGTAATGCTTCCTCTTTTTTCTTTTTTTCCCCCCACAGCTTATGATAGAAGTAGAATGTAACAAGGTAAGAGCAATTTTTCTTCAATTTCCCGATTTTCAGTTACCTCAGTTTTAGAATTCTTGTCCTACTGCTCCACTTGTTTCATGCTTGCAGCATGAAGATTATATTGTACCATTCAAATCACTTTCCTAGATAGATCTCATTTATGCTTTCATTTTTTTATTCAGTTTTGAAGGTATTGTTATTTTTAATTAGTTAATATTAGTTCTCATGAACTTGATGAGCAATGAAACACTTGATTTCTTCACTCAGACCATGAATGTGAATTCAGTTCATTTCCTGTTTAAAGTAATTTGGTGTTTATACACCACTCAATAACCAGTAACTGGAATCTGTATTTTCTTGCAGCGTGGAGGGACTTACACAACACAAGGCCGATGCATCATGGTAAATATTCTTTCTCCAAAGACATTGACAATGCTGCTAACTGCCCAAGATCTTAAGACCTGGTCAAAAACTGCTTCTAGTCACTTCTTTACCCCTCTTGTTACTCAATTTAATTTCCTTTTTGGCAATTCACCTTTGTTGATTAAAATTCAAAACCTTTCAAGTCATTGTCAGCCATATAATTTCCTTCTGCAGGTTCTCTCTAGCTAGTCTGAAGTAACTTTCTTATAGAATTTTTCTTTTTTCTGTCTTCACTTTTTTATTCATAGTGGTTGCCTGCTGTTCAAGATCACTTATTCCAACAGCTCTAAAACCTTGCCTTTTGCAAATCATGATCTTGATATAAAATATAACAATTTAATTTTTTTCCTCTGAAAACTATCAGTTGCAGCTCAGTGAAGAGGCCTCTTTTTCTTCTTTACTTTTTTACAGCAAATATGTTAGTGGTTACATAGTCATATCAGTAAAAGGCTTTAGTCTACTTGTGACAGTGTGGGTTTCCCTCCTCAGTGATGGGCAGAAGTGTATGAAGTCAGACAAAAAAGGATGCAAACAGCAGAATTATGTTACTTATAACAGCTGCCTGGGTATAGTTTTGATTATTTGGCTTGGAAGATCTCTGAAATAATTTTGATAGTATCAGTTGGTGGTATGAAGTCTTAGGTAATTACTTTGTGGGTTTTTCCTTTTCCCACCAAGTAGAACTTTCTTTCCTGAAAATCACTTACATAAAGTAATTTTCCTTCAAAATATTAAATACCATTTTGGTTTCTTTACAGGTTGGACCTTCAGGTTCTTCTCAGAGCAGCTATTCAGGCAGTCAGGTATGAGCCCTAAATTCCAGCATTTGTATGTTTTCCTTTAGTAATCTTGAACGACTAAAATAGTGTAACTACAGAGTACTGAGGTGATTTAACACTGTACTGAAATATCTTCTCTGCTAGTTCACACAGAATTGCAGAGTTATTCATCCAGTAAACAGTATGTTCAGTACCTGGACTAAGTTCAATTACCTCCTCTCTGTTGAACTCAATAGCTTGCTGTCAGTATTTTTACCTACAAGCTGCTTCACTACCTTTGATTTCACGCTTCAGTCATTTTTGTTGAGCATTGACCTGACTCTTTTCAGGAAAATAATATTTCTTCCATCTTCATAGAGGTTTCCTACCTATGTGTGCATGTGTGCATACAAACACAGTCACAAACCATTTACTTCATAGTTTTAGTGACATCTGGCATAATGAAAATGGAACTGTACCTATTCTTAATTCATCAGGTATTTTTCCTTTTCCCCCCCTCTTTTTTAATAGCCAAAATGAAAGATGTAAATATACTTGTGTTTCACTGTCTTTTCCACAAGAATTTACAAAATTTCCCCGAACTTCCCCAGATATTCATGCCCATATTAAAGCTCCAGTATAATGTCTATATTGCTTTTAACAATGACTTATATTTGCAGTTGAAAATTTGGAGTCTAATCACTGTCTAGTTAGCCTTTTAAAACTTCTGGGGTATGTCTGCATTTTCACTTACCATTTTTACTTTATTCATCACAGAAATATATGCTTGGTTTTTAATTAATTATCTTCACTACCATTAATTTGCCTATTTACCCTTTAACTCTTAGATGCTTTCTGATATGTCTCCAGCCTCTCAAGGGTATATTTCTTACTACTTACTAGTAGTTATTAGTGAGTTATCTAGTAATATTCTATTCCTTCAATCTTTACTACTTGTAACTGGAATTACCAGATATGGAGAAATACAAATTATTCTGATGTATATGCTAAAACCCAATTTTCTGCAGTGTATTTGTTTAATATATAATACATATTCTTTCCTAAGAGCTGAGTTTCTCATCTTGACACTAAGTACCTAAAGTTATTAATTTTTTATAAAATATGAACCACTTAGTAAAATTTTGAAAGGTTTCATGACCAGTGACAGAGTCATATGGAAGTTATGTGAAATAAAGATGATGACTAATGTCTCATACTAAATTAGAATTGTTACAGGCAGTTGCCAGTGAACTGGTAACCTCTGTACTTGCTTTACCCTTACTAGCACATACATATTGTCAGCTGCACAGCTCTTCATGCCAAAACCAGCAGCTTGTTGCTTTTTTTCTCTCTTTCCCCCTTTTTTTTTACAGGGAAATAATTGGCTTCTGTTTTTATTTCAGGGTGGAGTAGTCTACACAATAAGCAGCAGTGGATGTGGCCCTGTAAGCACTATTCTTACATTTACTCTTTTGTCCCCAGCATAACTATATTTATAGTAACTCGTAGCCTTCAATGGCATTATTTAATATGACTGTTCATGTGGGAGTTTCTGTTGCAAACAGAAAATAATGAAGAGAGATCTCGAGGATGAATATTACAGTTTATTCAATGATATTAAGTAGCTGGAAAACAGAGAAGTTAAAAAGTTAAATAGAAACATGTAGATTATAGAATCATGAAAAAAAGAAGGACTGGAAGGGGTTATCTGTGGCACTTATATTACACTCATTATATAAGGTATCTACTCTTCCTTCTATTCAAGACAAGACTGATGCAAGTCTGTCTGCATGTTCTAGGTAGTTCCTCCTCGCAGAAGTGGTCACACAGATTTGTGCAAGAACTGAGGCTATTTCAGTTTCTCATTTTTCAGGCAGCAGGGATAGTTGTGAAGTTATGAATCCTGAACAGGTTAAGCCAGTCATCCAGAAAAAGGTGAAAGATGCAACAGTGTAATGTAATGAATGTACTGAATAGATCAAAGACTTACTTGAAGCATTTTTATCAAGATGATGACTAATTGTACGGATTAAAATATATATATAATTATTTTGTTTTCCTTTCAGCACATTAAGATAAGGTTTTAATTTTTTAATAAAAATTTGTATTTATTCCAAACATTTCATCAAAATAAAAAGAAAAAAAAGAAAAATAAATGAAACAGTACAAAAATGTAAGACATTCATATCATCAGTACTTGCAAAATATAAAATTAATTCATCACAATGTGTATTGGGTTTTTGCAAAGAAAACAAAATTACAGGTTTTGGGGAGAGTTGATTGTAATAATAGTAACAATTGAGGTTTATGTAGAAAAGGAACTACTACTATTTATGCTGAATGTTTACATTTTATAATTTATTGACTATTAGGAAGATGTTAGCTTTTTTTTTCTTTTGGGTTTCTGCTTCCTAATTTTTACATGTAGGTACATATGACATACATAGTATGTTTGAATTATGAGCATTATATAAAACCTTTATAATTTATTAAAATTCTGTCTCAACAGTACCTATTTTAAAATGTTTCCCAAGTACCACTGGATAATCACTAATAGACAAAGGGCTCCTATGTTCATACATTTTTAGTGGAGACTACAATGCTCTCCTTATCATCTATTCTTTACATAAAGATCAGTCAGAATTGAGGGTGTCTGAAGTGTGACTTTCCTTCTGAAGCAGCTATAGATGAGAAATAACTGGTTTCTTTTTTTTTCTTAGGGAGGTGCTGCTGGTACATATGGTCAGCATGCCTGCAGAGATGTAAGCTGGTTATGGATGTTTTTACTGATTGTCTCTTACTATGCTTCTTAACTCATCTCCTTATTGCAAATCGCATTTGATTCTCTTCTGTAGAGCTATATTAATCTTCCTAAACATATAAGGGAAAACAGTTTTAGTCTGAGATATTATTCTGAAATTAAAAACCAAAATTAAAAGGTGTTACATTGTCAGTTCCTCAAAGCGTAATCATTTATGTCATAAGGGCTACTCATCACCTATTACAAATGCTTAATTTGTTAGCCTACTAAAATGTCAGAATTCTTACTGTGTGATGCTTTTTATCAGAGTAGTTGTCTTTGGATATTGCATATTGTGCAATACTATTTGGTTTTTTTTACAGTCTTTATGTATTAATCCAGTAATTCTTTAGTTAGTAGAGAAATTTCTATTGTCAATCTCATTTCTTTCATTTTCACTTGAAAACAGGTTTATTTTAAAATCTGATATATTTTACATTTTTAAAATCACAAAAGCAAGTAAAAATATTTATCAGAAGGAGAACACACTCTCTAATGCTTGTCAGGAACTGAAACCCTAGCCAAGAAACTGCTTAATCGTATGCTCAACTTTAGATACATCATTAGTTATATTAGTTCCTAAACTTTAAATATATTTTATCTTTGTTTAATATGTAAGTGTAAACTGCATTTTTGATGGAGCAACAGTAAGCTTATGACCATGGTACAGTTTGGGAAATTTTTACGTCAGTTATCTTTAAGCAAGTTCAGTATACTCTACTATTGCCCTAGATTTATTTCAAGTATAGGTAAAATCAGCTTCATTTGAAGTGTGCATCTAAGGATGACTTCTAGATATAATTAACAAATTATGATATAAATAAATACCTGTTCTATGTTTTTATTTCAGAGTGCATCTTCATCTGGCATTTCCTATGGCCAGGTAACTACATGTTTTCCAACATGTTTTCAATTTCCTAAGGTATTCAGGGCTAAGCAGTTATGCCCAACTTTTACCAAATAATAATTAAACTTATGAAAGGGGATAAATATGAACTGCCTTCAAATGGTTCAGTAACAATATCTGAAAATAACTTCAGCAGATGAGTTACATGTTTGATGTATGTTGTTATATCCACTTTGTTAGAAGTTATTTAGTCCTATTTTGCACTGAAACTCAATTGTATTTACTCTGAAAATGGACACAGTTACTTTTGTTATGATTTTCCAGAAGTCAGTGACTTTCTTTGATAGTTACTAAGAATTAAAACTATTTTTTCTGGCTTTTGCCTATGCAATTGTACATAATAGTTAATGAAATGGATAACTTCACTGCACGTTATTTTATGCTTCATTTAAAACATTTATCTTCTGATGACATATCTCATTTTTTCCCAGATACTGTTGTAATTGTTGTTTTTTTAATTTTGAGGGGATGGGTTCTGGAGTTTGGGTTGTTTTCCTTTTTGATGAAGGTAGAAGAGCTTAATTTTTTTTTCTAGCAATAGATTATTTTTACTATAAACAAACTTCCAATTTGATGTTAAATGAAACATTTGCAGCTTTTATACAGTGCTCTGTAAAAATAACAAAATAATTGGGTGTTTAGAAAAAAAATAAAGCTAGTTAATTTATTTTGGTTGTTCATTTAGTAATTGCCAATACATTCATATTTTTCTTCAGAATCTTATTTTGTTTGGTACTTCAGGGGAATCATGTTAGCAAAACATTCTTGTGAAAAATAGTGCTGTAGTTAATGTGCCATACATTTACCTAAGCAAAATATGGATTCTGTATTCTTTACAGTCTGTCCCTTCAAGCAGCTCTGATTCCAGTAAGAAGGTAAGCTCTCCTTTTCAAAGGGAAAAACTCTTACAGTTATAACTTGGCGCGACTCCTTTTGCTTCAGTTAGGATTTTTCAAGGTTTTAACCCAGATTGATTCATATGATTTGATTTGTTTTGGTACTTAGAAACCTTATACTAACTAGCTGTGCTGTGGTGGTTCTTGCTGATAGCTGATTCAATTGTATATAAAATACATGTTTCTTTTTAAAAAGTTAGGATAGCAATTGTGATGTAATTAGGATTTTAAGTATATAGATTACGTAGTTATGAGGGTTGAAAATAAGTGTGGCTCAGAGAAAGTCAGATCAATAGAATTCATTTTATTGTTGAATTTGACTCATAATTATATTTAAATGGACTCTTTCTCTCAGTCCCCAGGAAGCTCAGTGCTAATACTGTGGTGTGTTCAGTAAACACAAAGTGTTCCAACTCATGTCCTCACAGATGTTTTTATTCATTTTAATTTACCATTGTTTTAAGAATTTAAAACATACTGTTCAATTATTTTTTAATACTTCTTCCTGTTTTGTACTAGAATTCTTTACTTCTGAGAGCACTAACTCTCCTTTTCCTTTTCACACCACTGGGTAATGCAAACTGCTTTCAGTTTGAAAAAAAAAAAGGGTGGGGAGAGCTTTAGTGAGAAAACATTAACACCTCATTGTGTCTGCATTTGGCTTAATTTTTTTTTAATAAACTCAATATGAAGTCTTTTTTTTAGCATAATATTGAATAACGACAAAATAAATTAATCTTCTAGTTTGGGATGGAACACTGAAGATCAAAAAGACACACAGTATAGGCCAATGGATATGGTACAATACATGAAATCCTGCTTCTGCCTCTACAGCTGAGTCATGTGGTTGGGAGCAAGTCTTTTATTTCCTTACACTCTTATGTAAACCATGTGTACATATATATTCTTCTTGGTAATGTGTGTTAAATTCTTTTATAAAAGTGATCATTCATAGCATTATTATTGGAGTTTGTAAATATAGAGATTTCAGTATTCTTCATTTTTCTAACATATTTAACAATAGACACTATGATGAGTAAACAGCTTCCTCTGATTTCTCTATAGGTAGTGGTCGTTGCCAACAGCAACCCTTTTCCACCTGTGGTAAGCAGTTTTTCTTTACAATACTGAGAATTCTGACTCAAAAAGCTTTCAAATATCTACATTTTTAATTTTCAGAAAGAAATTCTGAAAACTCCTGGTGTATGGAGACAATTCTCTGGCAGGCAGGGTTTACCCTAAGTGCATAATTATCTTCAGGGAAAGCCAGTTATAAGATAGGTACAAATCTCGTGGTTCTGTGATTGCTGTTAGTGCTTGCAGAGGGACTGGATTAGCTGCAGATTCCAGGTCTCTCAGTGCATTCAGTCTCTGTGTTCCTGAACAGTTTCTATTTCTATTGCAATTTTCTTTTGTAAATTCACTTCCATTCTCATTTTTACACTCTTAAATTTCCACTCTGCTTATTTGGAACTCATACAGTCAGTTAAAACTAAGTTTAGCTTTTAGGAGTTTAAAATGAGTTTGTATGATGTAATATCTCATCGGTGTTAAATTTGTAATAGAACATGTTGTTCTAACTGAATGAAGATTAGGATGCATTTGTTCTATGCTGTCCTTTTTATATCATCCTTTGACATTTGGTTGTGTATTGCATCCAAAAGATAAGGGCCCTTTTTCCCTTTCTCTGCTGCAATGTTCTGTTTGGACAAGCCCTCATGCAAAATAAGTAAAAATTGTTTTGTTTCATTTGCAGCGTCATACCTTCCCCCAGGTAAGCACACTTTTTCCTATTATTTCCTATTATTTCTATATTAATATTACAGTTCTTATGGAATCAAGCCAGTTTCTCACGATGGTGTGTGTGTGTGTGTTACGCTTCCACATTTGTCCCTCATGCCCCAGAATTCAGCAAACAAGTGGCTGGATCAGGAACTGGATTTGCACGTGTGGTGATGTGTGTCCAATGCAGGTGACAGTGAGAGAGCTGCAGTGATGATGGTATCTTAGCTTCACTCAGCACATTTGGAAGAGCCAAGCTGACTGCTAGTGCAGAGAGGGCATAGCCTGTGCTCTGCTGCTCCCCATATCTGTTGTAAGAGAAGCAGATGTAAGTGTAGAAAATTATGTAGTAGGGCCAATCTGCCTCCCCAAACTTTCAGAGCTGAGAATAAACTAGTTTAATGCTGGGTGTTAAGAACTGATACTCAGTACATCACACATATGACCTTTCCCTTTATTTTCACAAACTAAGTGGTATATACAAACTTGGTATTTTCTGTTCAAGTGCATTGCATTTAAACAAGGCAATTAAATTTACTGTATTATGTTTTTTTTGTTTCTGGACTTTATTTTCAGAGTTTGGGAAGTTCTGCTACAAGGATCATAGTACAGGTAGACATTCTTTCTCCATTACACTTGAGTTTTAAATGAAGCTTTGTCTCAGTAAACTAAGTAATTATTCCCCTCTTAGAGAACAAGTAAGTGTGGATAATTTAGATATAACTTCAGTGGTGGAGTAGGGTGTTTTTGTGACTACAGCAAAGTTGATATCTTACTTGGTTGCTGATTAAAGACCATTGCAACTGGGTTTTTTTCTGGGTCCTTTGCAATTTTAACTTATATCCAACTCTTAATGGTTTAGGCTTCCCTTCCTTCGTATGCCAGTCTGTTAGACTACAGCAAATTCTCACTTTCACTGAAAGATCAGTACCAGGTTATCCCAGATGACATCTGTCTTTTGAAAATCATTGCTTTCAAAATGTATAGTATTATGTTCTTTCATGAGTAGTGATGAATGCTGGCAGAGAAAGGAATAAAATTTCCTTGTTATTTTATTTCTGAATTTAAATGTACAGTGTTTTGATTACACAGGTTGAGTTTTCAATATGTAGATATAAATTATATTTGATTCCACTCATAATCCACATACTTCATGGGAATCAAAATATTTTCTGCACTGACTTTTCCTTTAGCTTAATTGTAACCATGGCTTTTTCAATTCATGTTTTGACAAAGCCTTTGTCAGAAGTTTGTTGTGCTTAGTCATGAAAATTTAGTCATAATATGAATACAAATGTATATGATTTTAATGATTTGTGTGGTACCACTGAAGGCCAGAATTATTTAAACTCACTTGAAATACCTCAATATGACACAATGATGTGTTATACAATGAATTTTCTTTAAGAACATGATATCAAAGTGTATAAATACTTTTAGCACTTTATTTTTGAAGGATCTTTATATACATTTTGTATCACATGGAGATGGCATGGCATAAGAAAAGGTCTAATGAACTCTTTATGACTTTCAAACTAGCTAGTAGATAAAAAGATGGAATTGCTTCTTGAAATGTCTTATTACATAATTCCTCTTAAAAATAAATAACTTTTTTTTCCCCATGTAGGGTGGACAAAGACAGCAAAGCAGCAGCAGCAGCAGCACTTATATCACGGTAAATGAACTTAAACGGGGCTACAAATATTCCTCTAGACTTCACTGAAACAGGGCCAGCACAACTCAGAAATAAATTATTTTCTGCATTTTAAAATTTATTTCACAGGGTGCAGATATTTCTATCTCTCTGACTTTTGTTCATAAAATTATCATCTGGTGTTGGTGTTCAACTAATTTGTTCAGAATGCTCACAAATGTATTTTTCTGTGTGATAGGTTGAATTGAAATGACTGTATTCCACTCAGTGTGTTCTCTGAAAGGAGCACAAAGGTCATGGCACTAAGGAAGAGTGATACTAGGCTCATTACCACACCATCAACCCCATACTGGTAGATCCTATGTATATTAGACCTCAAATTCCAAAAGACATAAAGGGTAGTTGCTTAGCAATATCAAGAATGCTGAAGAATCATAATCGTGGACCGATGTGCAGTGTTTTTCAGCATTACTTAAAGCCAGGAAGATAAAGCTACTTCTATGAAAAACAAGTGTGTGGATTCAACAGATACTAACATTAATGTCATCATAAATTGTTGAAAACTAAAACTTGAGACTATTATAGTATGAACTCAAGTATGAAGGCTCTTTAAGACTTCCTTCTTTTGTGGAGCTGGGGGTAGGAGGGAGGCAAATGCCTGTCAATATTGTCTGTAGCACTACATGAAATCATAAAAACATTTCACAAGGGTAGGTATGACTTGTAAGGATCGGTTCAACAGGGAGGTCAGTACTCAACATCAAAAATGCTCAAGGTTGGCAGTTTGAACCTCAGTTTGTCATGGCTTATGCTGAGAGTAGGACAATCTGCAGCCCAGCTGCCAGCATACTCTTCTGTCTCCTTTGTGCTTTTTGAGAACCCCACATGCAGCTGTATTGTCAAAAATGTTATGCTCTTTAAAGAAACCTCTTTGTCCAGGTGATAAATACCTTTTCTTCTTTCAAAGGGTTCCCAAGGCAGCCAGTCCTATGGCCAGGTGAGGCTTTTTTGCTGAAATGCACCAAGCTTTTCTGTAGGAGCCTGTCTTGTAAATGGACTTTGGGGTGTGAGTGGGACTTTTTCCTTCTTGGTGTTGCCGAGTCATCCTTGATTTTGGTTTGTACCACTGAAATACCATGAAGGAAAAAAGAACATAGCACAGAGGAACTTTTACTGGAATTAGGCCTTTCTGTTGCATCTTTGCTAAGAGTATACAGCTCTGTTTGCAAATGACTTCTTGCTTTTTTACAGGGCTACAGACCTCAAGGTGGCAGTTCCTATGGCCAGGTAAGAATCAGTCAGTCACCAGTCAGAATGCAGTCTTTGAGAAAAGGAGAGCCATGGCACAGAAAATGCACTTAGCAATCCCTCAGAATTTGATCTTTAAAGCACATTTGCTCTGAAAGTGTGTGTTTATCCACGTGGTACTTATATATCTGGAATCCCAGTATGTGAAATCATGGCACTCAGCATCCTTGTGAGAGCCAGGAGCATGTCCTGCTCCTCATACTGCCCTGCACAGCTTTAGGAAGTAGTTGCTTGCTTTTCCCAGTGCAGGCTGAGATCCTTAGCAAAAGGGAAGTAACCAAATTATGTCCTTGTCTTAGGGTGGGCCAAGTTTCTCGGGCAGCAGCAGTTCCTATGGCCAGGTAAGCAAACTAAATATTCTGTAGGAAGTTCTTCACTGATATCTCTGTGACCAAAGACTGGCAGATTTTGGAGACTGTTATTTCCTTTGGCAGTCTGCACTTCAATTTGAGTCATGGCTTTTGCTGAGTGTAGGACAATATGCAGCCCAGCTGCCAGCATACTGTTCTGTCTCCTTTGTGTTTTTTGAGAACCCCACGTGCAGCTGTATTGTCAAAAACGTTATGCTCTTTAAAGAAACCTCTTTGTCCAGGTGATAAATACCTTCTCTTTTTATAACGGGTTCCCAAGGCAGCCAGTCCTATGGCCAGGTGAGGCTTTTTTGCTGAAATGCACCAAGCTTTTCTGTAGGAGCCTGTCTTGTAAATGGACTTTGGGGTGTGAGTGGGACTTTTTCCTTCTTGGTGTTGCCGAGTCATCCTTGATTTTGGTCTGTACCACTGAAATACCATGAAAGAAAAAAGAACATAGTACAGAGGAACTTTTACTGGAACTGGGCTTTTCTCTCTGGTATTCTATGATTCTGTTGCATCTTTGCTAAGAGACTACGTAGCTCTGTTTGTAAATGACTTCTCGCCTTTCTTGCAGAGCTACCAGCCTCAAGGTGGCAGTTCCTATGGACAGGTAAGTGTCAGTCAGAATACAGCACTTGAGAAAGTGGAGTGCCATGGCCCTGCAAAATTTGGCCAATCTTAAAATATTGTTTTCAATTTATATTGAGTTCTTAAAAAAAAACCCCTCTGAATCTATTTCAAAACTTTTGTTGTGAAAACGACAGTTTTGTTTTTCATGGATATCTGCAGAAATCATAGGTTTGTGCTGCTATCTTATCTTTTCCATGGGTATGGAACTTTAAAATTTATGGTAGAAACAGTCTATTTGATGCTATTACCATTCTAGTTGACCTTCATGGTACAAGACAAATTTATATTCAATTCTTTTATGTCTCTTGCTCTCAGTACAGAGAAACAGTGCTGAGGAACTAAAGAACACTGAGACAGGTTCTCAGCTGCATGAATATTTGGTCATAGAGCCTGTAAATGATGAATATTTACCTCCCTTTACAGTTTTTATGTAACTTAAAGCAGGTCTGAAATAGCTATGATTTTTTTTTAAGATTTCTTATGACACATAGCAGAAATAAACAAGATCCTTCTAATTCTATTTGGTAATGCCCCGTCTTTGTAGCTGTCCCAGACAGCTGTGGCACATATCTACATGTACATGAAACAACTGCTCTTTTATGAGATTATATTGAAGGCAGATTGCATCAGCAAATTATACCCACAGTAACTTTATATTATTGAGAGTTTTTCAAAAAGTACTATCATCCCTGGTTAATTCACTTGACCTGCTAATTTTAATTGCGTTGGGTTTTTTTACATTTTATGAGTCTATGTTTTTTAAGATTCTTCCTTAATTTTTAAAAATTATTTTACATCTTTATTTTCCCTGGAGGAAGGGCATTGTGCAACTGGTGCCCATGAAAAATGCAAAGATAGGAAATCAGTATTCACCTACCATTAGCCATCTAAGCCCAGTGTCCAATAAATGGCAGGCAAAATAAACATAATAAGAAAATGTTGCGTGCCTTCCTGGAAAACCTTCATAAAACTCGAGTCCTGTCTGAGACACATGTAAAACTACTCTACAGTTCTCATTCAATAAATACAGCTCTTCATCCCGAATAAGAAGTATCAAAATAACTCTAGTTAAGCAGCAGAGTCTGTACATTCTCTGTCTTATTCCGGCTTTTTTTACCCCACAAAGAGGCAAACTCTAGAGGGGCATCTGCTTCACAAATACAGTAATTATGAATCAATAATTCATTTCATACAGGACTACAGACCTCAAGGTGGCAGTTCCTATGGCCAGGTAAGCGTCAGTCAGTCACCAGTCAGAATGTAGCCTTTGAGAAATGGAGTGCCATGGCACAGCAAAAGCACTTAGGAATCCCTCAGAATTTGATCTTTAAAGCACATTTGCTCTGAAAGTGTGCATACTCACACTCAAAATTTATCAATGTGCTACTTATTTATCTGAAAATCCAGTGTGAAATCATGGCACTCAACATCCTCGTAAGAGCCAGGAGCATGCCCTGCTCCTCATACTGCCCTGCACAGCTTTAGGAAGTAGTTGCTTGCTTTTCCCAGTGCAGGCTGAGATCCTTAGCAAAAGGGAAGTAACCAAATTATGTCCTTGTCTTAGGGTGGGCCAAGTTTCTCGGGCAGCAGCAGTTCCTATGGCCAGGTAAGCAAACTAAATATTCTGTAGGAAGTTCTTCACTGATATCTCTGTGACCAGAAAGACTGGCAGATTTTGGAGACTGTTATTTCCTTTGGCAGTCTGCACTTCAATTTGAGTCATGGCTTCTGCAGCCCAGCTGCCAGCATACTGTTCTGTCTCCTTTGTGCTTTTTGAGAACCCCACGTGCAGCTGTATTGTCAAAAACGTTATGCTCTTTAAAGAAACCTCTTTGTCCAGGTGATAAATACCTTCTCTTTTTATAACGGGTTCCCAAGGCAGCCAGTCCTATGGCCAGGTGAGGCTTTTTTGCTGAAATGCACCAAGCTTTTCTGTAGGAGCCTGTCTTGTAAATGGACTTTGGGGTGTGAGTGGGACTTTTTCCTTCTTGGTGTTGCTGAGTCATCCTTGATTTTGGTCTGTACCACTGAAATACCATGAAAGAAAAAAGAACAGAGGAACTTTTACTGGAACTGGACTTTTCTCTCTGGTATTCTATGGTATTCTATGATTCTGTTGCATCTTTGCTAAGAGACTACGTAGCTCTGTTTGTAAATGACTTCTCGCCTTTCTTGCAGGGCTACCAGCCTCAAGGTGGTAGTTCCTATGGACAGGTAAGTGTCAGTCTGTCACCAGTCATTATACAGCATGTATGTGATGTTCCCATATATGTATTGAGAATTCTGTGCTTTATTTCTTAAAATAATATAGTAAGTAGCCATTACAAATAAGAGTTGTGAATTTTTTTCATGAGTCTGGCAATTATAGGCACACTGAAACAGCTGTTTCCCATGTAGAAAGGAGTGCATGTAGGTGTCAGCTTTCTGATGCACTATAGTCTTAACATACACAAATACTTTACCAGAAAATTCACAGTTGGATGTAGAGGGATGTAGATGCCCAACCTTTTAAGCAGTCGAGCATCTAAAGCACTTGAAAATTTGTTTCTGTATTTGAAATGGAGAAAATGAATGAAAATGAATATTTGGATTACAGGCTGCTCTTCTTTTTTTCCCAAGCAGGGTGGAGCTTCTTCAAGTGGCAGCAGCGGTTGTGGACAAGTAAGTTCCTTTTTCTCCAAACTATTTGAAAACTAGACCCAGCTTTCTTTCCAGTAGTGACAGATTTTTCAACAAGTTCTATAATGTTTGTTAGTTTCAATCAATTGTTTTGATTGTTTCATGGATTTATCTAGCACAGAGATCAAGGAAGGCTGATATTGTTTGTCATTGTAACTGGTATGAAATGCTTCTCCCATTTAGAGTTACACACTGAAGACAGAAATGTGATTAATCTCTCTACTTAATAAACAGATAAAGTATTTCCTTGGGAATTTTTGGATGTTGCTCCATTTATTTTCTGTAGAAGAAAATAGGATTAGAGAGTGGCTCCTGAAGAACAGGAATTAAATTAGTAATTTTCATCCTGGTTCCATTTCAACTTGTGTATGCCTACAACAGTAAAGACAATGTCTTCAGTGATGAGATCCCAGGTGAATGGATCGTGAATGAGGTCATGTAGTAAACCTATGGTTAAATAAATATATTGAGGAAAGCAACAAGAATTAAATAGAAGTATAAATACAGACATTTTCACAAGTATTTAGCAGAAATATTAGGATCAGTGTAAGTTAAGCACGAATGGAAATGCATGGAAAACCATCATAAGAAGCAATACAACATGGACACAGATAACAGCAATCAAACTGATAAACACTGAAAAATGTGTTCCTTCGACCTAAGCTGTGACACAGCTCTTGACTTATCTGTGCTGTGATAATGGGAGTGCGACAGCCAGGGTAGAACTCTTTCTGTGTACTGTTTCTCATCCTGTTATCCCAACAGGAAGACTGGCTGTAGCCAAAATATACCCAAAACAGGAAATAAAATGCATTGAGCAGCAGCCTTGCCTAACATCTACAGTGGGTGAATCTAGCAAGTGATAGATGGTCACACTGAGATAAACGGTCACAACAGAGATAGATAGTCACCCATCAGTAACAGTTGATTCCTAAAAAACCCCACCAACAGTTAATCTTTACCAAACAAGAGGAACTAGGGTGATACAGAGAGACATCAATTGCCAGCCTATCTTTCTTTCCTTGTGGCTCACAAGAACTCCTCCTTTGATCACCTGCGTGCATGTGTCTTGATCCTTGTGAGTATGTGGGTATGGGAGTGACAGAGGGTAAAGCCACACATTTAAAGGACTAAATAAAATTAAACTCACCCTCTGCAAAATTTTATGGTGAGTTTTGTTACATTAATTCTCACAGAAGAAATTTTAAGAAAGCAAATTACTTCGAAAGAAAAATGAAGATTTGGGCATTTACCTTTTTGTTTATTTTTTTTTAACAGGGTGTTTCATATGATAGCAATCCCTGCCACCAGGTAAATGCTCTTTCTCCTCTTATTTTAAGATGCATCCAAAATTAGTTTTGCCACTAACTCAATTAGCAACAACTTCAGATTCATGTAGCACAAATCTATATAATCTTAAAAGTTAGGAATGAGAACTCACCATCTTCCTGTACACAGGAGTATCACAGGGGCTTTGGAGTCTTTTTTCCCCCCTTTTTCCTAGGATTATGCCTGTGAAATGTCTCGCTTTATAGGACATTAAGGCCAGATTCTGGAAAGAAGAACTCTACTGCAGAGTGGCTGAAGTGGCACAACTTAAATCAGGGCTGGAGCTCACCAGCCTCTCTGTGGACTTTTCCTGTCAAAAGTCAGAAAATACTTTAGGACTGCCACTTGGGGTTCCTGGAACAAACTGGCTTAAGAATTCATTCAGTTTGTGCAGGGAACTAGAGACAGCTACATGTGTATTTGTTCCAAGTTCAATGTTGGAACTATAAAAACCACTATCCTAAAGGGTGTCAGCTATGTTTAAAGAAGTAATCTCTGTCATGTTGAAAATTAGTAAGAAAACAGCAATAGATGATTCCTTGTTTATTTTTGATACTTCTTTTGATTCTGAGTTTTCACAAGGAATAGAAAAATGAGATAAAATAATTGTATCAATAAATACTGTGCTTTATAAATATATACTATATTTATAAATATACAAACAACATAGATGTTGCTAAAATATATTAATATGTTTTGGTATAGTGTATACAATGCACTGTATTTAATACATTGCTATAACTTGAAAGAATAATATATTAAATAGGTATGTAATTATTTTATAATAGCATTTCAATTTTTTCTTTGTAAAGAGGAACTATTCCTTTGTAAGACTAAAGAAGGTGCTTAAATTTTGTTCTAAAATCTGCTAGAACATTGAAAGATAATACTTTTTATTTCATTTTCCTTTGCCTCTTCTGAATGAAGCCTCAGTCCAATTTTAGTGAATGGCAAAGATCCCACTCACTTCAATAGCTCAGGATTTCACTGTTTTTATTATGCACTTTTGTCACTAATACTTCCAAAAATGTCTTTTCTGATTACACTTGGAGAAGTTACATTCCTCTTCTAAAGGGGGCACGTTGAAACATACTGAGTGTTTTATATAAAACCTATTCCTGGAGGCCCTGATACTTCACAGCTCACAGCTTTCTGTGTAATAATGCTACCAGGGGAATTTTTCATATATTTCTCATCTCACCTTTGCGCTATTGGCAATCTGTGCTTACTAAATTAGAAATTATATCCATATTGCATATCTACCCTTTCTTCTTACTCTTCCTAAGCAAGTATCATAACTTTCATTAAAAATATTCCATATACAAACAGCAAGTGTCTAAAGCATGCATAATTTTTTGTCTGATTTACAGGGTGGATCACAGGGTGGATCACAGGGTAGTCAGGTAGGCAGCTCTTTATTTCCCATTGGTAAAAAGTTTTTAAGCATTTCTAATTCAGCGTATAGTTTTCTTGCTTATGAGGGTATAGACACTTGCGGGGTCTCCCCATCTCCAGCCTGTAACTCTTTCCCTGCAAACATACTTTTTGTCAGCCCTGAAATTCTACTTACATAGAAAGAACTCAGCGCCCTAAGACAGCTCTGTGCATTCTGATAAAATTAAGCTCTCCAGAATTTTAACTCTTGCTGTTTTGTTTTCACAGGGTGGATCATACTCACAAAACTATGGTGGTAGCCAAGTAAGTACTAGATTATTATTGTCTCCCACTGGGGTTTTATGAGCTTTTCCTTCCATGATGGTTGATCAGTATCCAATCTGCAATATTGTAATATTCATTCTAATTATTTTTTGTTGTTGTTTCTTAGCAGAGTGGATCATCATCCTCACAAAATTATGGTAGCAACCAGGTAGGTAGACCTTGATTTTCTCTTGGTAAGAATTCTTATCATATTTGATAAGTTATCCAGATATTTTAAAAGTTGTATTTGTTCAGAGAAATCCTAGGCAATTGTTTATTCCAGCTTTACAGTCCCTGAAGAAAATCACAGTTTCTTCTGAAGTAGAGTTTATATTTTTTTTATAGGATGGATCCTACTCACAAAACTATGGTGGTGGCCAAGTAAGTAGTATTCTATTTCCCTACTTACACATCACTTCATATAAGCTTTAGTGTCTGCTCAAAATCAGGTTTCTACATCCTGATTTTGGTTGATTTGTTTGTTTTAAAGGGTGGATCATCCTCCTCAGACACCTATTATGATAATCAGGTAACTAGTTCTTTCTTTCTCCTAGTTACACATTATTTGTAGTCCCTGCATCATCTTTCTCAAAGATGTAATAAACCATAATTTTTTCTCTGCTCTTCGTGTTTTGGGTTGGGTTTGGGTGTTTTTTTCTTTACTGAAGATTGGAACATTCTCTGTAAGCAACTATTGCAGCTATGGATTTGGCTCTTTTTTTTTTTCTTACATAGATCTTAATTTAATTTAACTCAGCTTTTCCTTTGCATAAGCATCTCTTCTGTCTTACAGAGTACAGTATCAAAGTGTATTGTTAACAACCCATTTTGTGAGGAAATAACTGGTATCTGCTGTTTTTCTAGGATTCACAATATTCCCCAGATGATAATCCCAATGCTTGTGATGATGTGAGTATGTTTTCTCTAATATATTTTCATCACAACATTTTTTGTGTAGATGAGAAAATATTGCACTGCTAGATGCAGTCGTTTGAGCAGAATGATCCAGAAAGAATGCCGAGTTCCCACACTAATAGCTGTTTCAGCAACTGCATTTTTCTTGGTGAAAGTTGTCAAATATGTAGTTACAGATATGGTTTGTGTTTTTAAATGCACTTAACTTGATAAAATGAAATATGGATAAAAGTATTTCAATGGCTTTGCAGTAACAGAAGATTTTCCCCAAAAGGTAAAGATACCTTTTACAGTAATTTTCAAAAAAAAAGAAAATCTAAAAGAAAATATTTAAATACATACAATGAATGAAAGAAGAAATTATGGATATTCCACTGCTTTTCATGTTGCATTTCTACCAATCTAAAGCTGCTATTAAAATGTTTTTCAGATTGTAATTATAGGATTTCAAACTAATTTAGGCAAGGCTGTGGAGAATGTGAGCAACAAGTGGAATATGTCCGTATGCTGTTTCGGAAAAAATTAGTTTTCTGTAAGCTTACTGTATTTAAATAATTCTTTAAAAAGGGAGTAATTTATTCTTTTCCAGAATGACACTACTTACAGTGCCAAGAGTCGGGTAAGTACTTTGTTTCTTCTGTAATATTCAAGTTCTTGTGATTAATGACAGTGTTAGTAACTGAACACTTCTGTATTAGACCCACGGACTTCTAACTGTAGTGCATGATTGTTTTATAATACCCTTCAAAAAGTTAATTATTTCTCTGTACTCAAGGTTGTTGCACAATTATTAAAAACTGCACAATACAGAATATATACTGATATATTTTCTTCATAGTATATGCACTTTGACTGTATAGTTTTTTTGGGAATTAACCACCTATGTACATGAGGCATGTACCTTACCTCAAGCTTTTTTCACCTGTTCAAATTTAAACTCTCCTTTATGCTATTGTTGTAAAGTAACATTTGTCCCTGGTAATAGTCTCTCTGTCAAGACTTTCCATCTGTCCTACAAGCAGAAACTGTGATTAACATGGATAGATTGTGACCAAGCAAATATATTGTTGTGTAAATAAAATACATTTTCCCCTACTTTTTTCAGTTCATAGAAAAGCTTTTTTTATGTCACAGCCTCCTTTTGTTTTACTGCCATCTAGAGTAACCTCCTGTCATCAGCTACTTGCCTTCTCTTCAGTTGTCAGCCTTACACTGTACTGCTTCATTGTTTTCCCCATTTTTCTCTCTACTACTTTAGTACTGCACCAAACATGTATTCTAGGAAGTAAAAGGAGGTCTTCTGAAACATCCTTTGTTTTCGCTTATATTTACCTTGAATGCAAAAGGTTCTGAAAAAAAAAATCCTTCAGCAGCAAGCCTTGTTTAGGGGCCTCATCACTTCCTCCTTGGTTCACAAAAGATGCTAGTATTCCCTTGGTTATAACAAAGGATAGGGAATTCTAAAAAAAAACAACAACCAAGCAAACAAGCAAACAAAAACAAAAAAAACAAGGGAAAACAAACAAAGAATATGCTTTTTAAGACCCTTAATGATATTAAAATGAAATCTCCAGACATTTTCCTTTTCCAGAATATGCGACCTTGACAAGTAGTAGATTTTTGCTAAAGTACTTAGTGCAGATAACTCCACCTCTAAAGTAGTAACAATCTTTTGGCTCCTCTACAGGGTTCTGGTTGTGCAAAGAAGAAAGTTCTTGTTGCCCGAGTAAGTAACTTTTTTTTCTTTTCTTTTCTGACTACTTGTAGGATTTTAGCCCTAACTTATCCTAATTATGCCTAATTTCCCTGTAAATATGTTGCCCTAATTAATATTCTTCTATTTAAGGAAAAATTAAAATAAAGTTACTTAACTATTTGCTCTTTGCACGGATTTCTTTAAAGGAAATATATAGATGAAAAAAAGACATGCAAATCATGCTTTGAAGTAGAGGGCAGCTGAAATTCCTGTTCTTCATTAAGCACAGAGTTAGTCCAAGCTAAAGTTAAAATTAAATGAGTATCATACAAAGGACAGCTAAAATTTTAGCTGAAAAGAGATAGAATAATGAAGTAAGAAAGAATAATGTTTGGCAATTTACTGTGCTCAGCAGGCTGTGGAGGGGATACGGGCATGTGTATTGTATAGCTTCAAGTCAGACTCAGCAATAGCCTATAAAAATTACGTGCAAATAACCTTTTATTTTATAATAAGCCTTTCCTACTCAATGTATATAATAAAGGGTCTGCAGCTGTTTTAAATAAATACAGGGGGGGAAAAAGAAGGTCTATCACAGATCAGAGAGTTTTAATCTCCTAATAGCAGATATTCCTGTTTTTTACAGGATACATCACACGCTTTAAGCAGAAGAGCCTATGATGTCCAGGTAAACCATTCTTGTCACCTTTTCTGAACTACTGCTTGTGTTATAGCTCCTTGCTGTATTACCTACAAAAAGAAGGATCTAGTTTCCACAACAGAGAATTCTGTTTAGGGTTAGGTAGTTCTCTCCCAATAGCACTATATTACCCTTACTGAAAAATGTGTCATTTTTTATTTCTTCGCAGAATGCATCTTCTCCTTCAAACAGCAGCCACACTGATGTCCAGGTAATAACATAGTGTCAGGTGCATGATATCATTGCAAGGAGCTTTCTGATAAATTATAATTCATTCTGAAAGTTAGGTTCCACTAATCCTTCTGTGCTGAAGGATGCTATTTTGAATTGGCAGCGTTTTCCCTATAACGTTATAACTTTGCGCAGTTGTAAATGGGCCCAGAATACAGAGTCTGTTCTGTTCCTTCTCTCCATTAAGCAGGTAACCATCACAGGTGTTTCTTTACGTAACATTTTGTAAAAGTCATTTGCAAAACACCAAAAAAATAGGTTTAGAATCTTTTTTTTTGGAAACAGTCCTGCTCTAGTGATGGTAATGGCCAGATATATAATTTTTTCATTTTAAATTTGGTAAGTAGGTACATCTTAGGGGTTAGGTACTTCTGTTACTAAAGTAGAACCAACTTTCATATTCTATAGGATCATGTACTGATACAGCACTGTATATGTTAGAGAATTTTGTGAAATTTAAATGATCCAGAGTGGCACTTGATTCTGTTTTTATTAAAGCATCAGCTTCCCAGAGATCCTGAATCCTGCTACATGCCACATTATGCAGATTTAACACTAGCACAGTCTTCTGTCTCAAGAGAGTTTGCAATCTAATTCAATAGTGCAGTCAGATTTATAAGCTCCAGAAAATAACTGTTTTCTTAATTAGTTTTTCTGATACCAATTCCCTGTGTATGGTATCATTAATTAGGTTTCATCCAAATCTATGTTTTCACAATAATTCAACAGATAGTGCTTGTTCATGCAGGAAAGTAGTAGAAAGAGTTTGTCACCTTACTTCTCACTACATAATTTTATAATTCAGGTTCTGATAAAATGCTTTGATAAAATGTAATTGTTTTCTTCAAAGGGTGGATCATTTATTGCAACCAGTGGTGGATCAAGTAATCAGGTCAGGATTGTCTTTATTTTTAACTAGTCTTGTCCAGATTGCTTCCTGGTAATTAAACTAATTAAATTCAGGAATCAGAGTTTAAGTGAAGTACCTTTGCATGGAGGATTGGTCATGTTATGCATTAAATTGTAAATGAAGTGACTGTTCAGATTAAATTTATCAGAAATGGCTCTCTGAAGTCACTTTTCAACACTGTTTCAATTTCATGTATGTTTTATTGGTGAGAGCACAATGGTGATTCTCTGCACTCTTGGACTACTTGATACTTCTGTCTTGCTGAGCATCTGTCCCTGAGACACAGCACCAAGAGATGTACTATCAGTCCAACTTTCAAAGCAAACATTAACTATTCAGAGCTAAACTCATTTGTTCTAGGTGTAGGAAAGGTCACAGGTACTCTGTAACCCCACAGTCTTTCTTCCCCTAAACAGTTTCACATATGAAATAAGAATTTATTTTAAATTTCCACAAAGCAATGATTGTTTCCTTTTTTAAAAATTTATAGGGTGGTTGCATTTGTCCTGATGGAAGCAGTGGTCATAGACAGGTAATTATTTTTCTGGGTTTATACTTCGATCTACATAATGGAGTATCTTGAATTAATCATCTAGTATATATGGACACTTGGTTAACACTAAACATTAATGTTCATTTCCTTAGTATGGGTAAACTACATACAATGAAACGGAAGAATGAATTCCACTTTACTTGAGCTGCATAGTTACTATTCAGCCACTAACTTCCTGTACCTGTGCTTGGTGATCCAGATGCTCTGTCACTTGACTGTTATGTGCTAATTATTCATTACTTTCAAAAAACAGTCATTATCCCTTATAGTAACCACAGAATTTAATTTAATCAATTTAATTGCATCCAGGTTAGTTTCCTTGTCTTTTTAACTGGTGCAATAAAATACTGTGACTAAAACATCAAAATCTATAAATGTTTCAAAATTTAGTTTCTTAAATCAACATTTAAACTGTTCTTTCCCATAAAGACAATCACTGCAATTTCATTGCCACTTGCACTGGATAAACTTTTCTCTTAGGCAATGCCCCTGTGCTGGGAAAAAGGCCAAGGAATGTGCTTACCTAGACATTATAGAGTAATTTTACCAGGCTTCTGGCTTCACCTGGCAAAGACAGATGAACTTGGATTTTAAAGTCACCTTTCTTCTACCAGAATACTTATTGTGAACCTTTTACTGAAGCTGTATTTCCATAAAACCATTTGAATGGTGTAATATTTTTTTTTTTAGTTTTCAATTTCAATGGGAATTATTTTGCGGATTATTCTTTCTATTAAAAACCCCCCATGCTATTTAAACAAACTAACAGTATAAAAAAATTACTGCTTCCTGGACTTAACTTCATTAACTTAAAATAAAGAGCAGTCATTTTGGTAAGGTAGAATACCACCTCTTTCACCTAATTTAGGGTGAGCAGTAATCATGACCTGTATGTTTTAAAATATAAACTAGTCTATTTAAGATAACTACTATTGAAACCTAGTTGAGGAAAAACCTTTATTTGTCATGTGATTGTAAATCTATATCAACAAATCCATTTACAAGGAAAAAGATGGACATCCTTATGCAAGTTTTCATTCTGATGAGCCCTTTTCTTAACATGCTTTAATTGTTGCAAAAAAGGACTTAGTTTGTAACAGGAATCCACCACATCTTGATTGGGGAGATGAGAGTGTATGTATTTAGTTGCTATCAACAAAAATTTTCAACATGAAGAAAAGAAGACATCGAAATTGGATACAGAAAATCAACTCTCTGTGCAGATGTGTCCACTTTGATTCACAAGAGGTTGTTTTCCAGTTTGCAGATTTGTCAGCTGATCAAATTAATTTATGATGAACTAGATAGCAATAGACTTGATCTTTGCTTTCATCCAACAGTAAAATCCAGCAATCTTTGCAAGGAATAGACTGAATTAAAAAACAGAGCTATCTTCATTTTCTGTCCAGGGCCCTCTACATGTGGCAGCTACAGTGCCTTAGATTAGCATGCAAACAGATTAGCTGTGATAGGTAGGTACATTCTTCTGAATAAAAAAGCAAACTATAGGTAGATGTACATGTACAAATAAACCACCATTCATAAATCTTACATAAAAGAGTTATCTACTTCCTTGAAGATTCTTCAGCACAGGAGGAAAATTCCTGCAAAAAGTTTTTTCAAAGAAAAATGGTTTTCCTTATGTGGATCCTGGATCCCCAAATGTCTCACACTGCAATTATTCTGCTTTTTCTCTAAGTTTCATCTAAAGGCAAGACCTTAGTCTACTGCTCTGAGGAAGCAGTCTAATCATAGAATAATACTTCCCCTGTTCTGTATATGAAGGGGATGTGACAGTAATAGTGGATGCTATGGACTGGTAAATAGTCTTCTCTCATAAGTGGTGAGCTCTCCTAAACACTATTTACACTTTGGAAGTTCAGTGTTCTGGCAATTTTTAAAAAGACCATCATTATCATGATCATCTATAACAACAGAGTCTGCAAGGTATGACATTAGATTCTGTGATTAGAAAGAGTAAAATTAAATGTTACTGCTACTTTCAGATCTTTTAACCTGAAGAGAAAAAATCAGAACCTGCTAAAGTTTTCCTGATCTCTAACAATCTCCAACCCCCCCAGCATTCTCTTTTAATGTTTGCGGTAATGTCCTCAAAAGCTTTATTTGAAAGAACAGAAATTCAGAATGGACTCATGTAAATGTCTGCTTGCAAGAAAATAGCTAGTCTGTGTTTTCATTTCAGGGAGCCCCAGGTTATCCACACAGCACATATTCTGGTAACCAGGTAAACATTCAGATAAAATGCCCTGTTCAGAAGTTCCATCCAAAACCTTCCCTCGAAGGAGTAGCCAAATATAAACCAGTAACCCATTCTGTCTTCTGCACAGGGAGGGCCTTTCTTCTATCCCGGAGGATCCTATGGACAGGTAGTAGTTCTTCCTCCCTTACCAGGATAACACAGACTCCCATCCTCCTGGCTCCATCACTCCCAGTATTGTGGGTGCTATGACATGCCATAATTAGAGATCTGACTGTTGTCCCTTAGAGCAGAAAACTTAACCCTGGTGTAAGCTAGAGGTGTGAAGTTTGATAGAGAACAGTACAGACTGGTATCTGCAGCTTCCTTACAGAATACAAATTTCAGCAGGCTAAGAAAGTTGCCACCAGAAGATTTCTTCTAGTTTAACAGTACCTGTGTTCAGGTACATAGAAATTAGCTCAAAATTGGGAGAAAGAGTGTAAAGAGAGAACTGGATAGGCAGGTATTTAAACTCTTGTCTGTGAGAAAATAACTGGTTTGTGTTTTTCTTCTAGGGTGGCCCAGGTTCTTCCCACAGTTCTTACTCTGGTAACCAGGTAAATATTCGGGTCACTGTGTCTTCACAGGAGCAGTGTAAAAGTATTCCTTGAAAGAACAATTCAAACCAGTAAATTTCTGTGTTTTCTGTGCAGGGAGGGTCTTCCTACTATCCTGGTGGATCCTACGGACAGGTAGGTGTTCTTTGTAGAGATAACAGAGTTCTTTTATATTCATTCTTATGTTCCCTGTGTAGTGGCTGTTGTGAAATATAACACCCAAGAAATGAATCAACTGTTTGTAACTTACAACATGAAATCCATCAGAGGAAAAGACTAAATTGTATTTACAACTTTCATGGAAGAATCTTTCATCCAAATAAGAAGATCAGTGATAAAAAGTTCCTTCTGGTTTAACAGTATTGCCCTAGAGTGAGACTTGGGTACATTGGTATTTACACCATCCTGTTTGCAAGAAAATAGCTAGTCTGTGTTTTCATTTCAGGGAGCCCCAGGTTATCCACACAGCACATATTCTGGTAACCAGGTAAACATTCAGATAAAATGCCCTATTCAGAAGCTCCATCCAAAACCTTCCCTCGAAGGAGTAGCCAAATATAAACCAGTAACCCATTCTGTCTTCTGCACAGGGAGGGCCTTTCTTCTATCCCGGAGGATCCTATGGACAGGTAGTAGTTCTTCCTCCCTTACCAGGATAACACAGACTCCCATCCTCCTGGCTCCATCACTCCCAGTATTGTGGGTGCTATGACATGCCATAATTAGAGATCTGACTGTTGTCCCTTAGAGCAGAAAACTTAACCCTGGTGTAAGCTAGAGGTGTGAAGTTTGATAGAGAACAGTACAGACTGGTATCTGCAGCTTCCTTACAGAATACAAATTTCAGCAGGCTAAGAAAGTTGCCACCAGAAGATTTCTTCTAGTTTAACAGTACCTGTATTCAGGTACATAGAAATTAGCTCAAAATTGGGAGAAAGAGTGTAAAGAGAGAACTGGATAGGCAGGTATTTAAACTCTTGTCTGTGAGAAAATAACTGGTTTGTGTTTTTCTTCTAGGGCGGCCCAGGTTCTTCCCACAGTTCTTACTCTGGTAACCAGGTAAATATTCGGGTCACTGTGTCTTCACAGGAGCAGTGTAAAAGTATTCCTTGAGAGAACAATTCAACTACAAACCAGTAAATTTCTGTGTTTTCTGTGCAGGGAGGGTCTTCCTACTATCCTGGTGGATCTTATGGACAGGTAGGTGTTCTTTCTTGTTTGTAGAGATAACAGAGTTCTTTTATTTTCATTCCTATTCTGTGTTTGAAAGACAGAAAACACTTTCTTGAGGGAACCAAATTAATCAACTTCTTTTATTTTCTTTACAGGGAGGGTCTTCTGTTTATGATGGTAGCAGTGAATCCTATGGTCAGGTAAATACTCTTTTTTTCTCTTTGTATAGAGGGTGCTGGGGGCAAATAGCCTGGGTCAAATATACAGCTATATTCTGTATTTTGGCTCTCGCTATATTTTAATGAAAGTGGGCTTTTTCTTTGAGGAGTGAGTGGATTTGTATATACTTCCAGGCTACTTAGTTAGAAGTTTATAAGGGAGTAAAAAGTGGGGTGCCTCCAATCTTTAAGGTTTGTTCTTGTCAACAATGCTAGCTTTGAATCACCTGCAAGATGAAGGTCCCTTCAAAAGTGGAATTAGAATTTGAGTTAAAAAATAGGTTAAATTAGTGTTTTACAGGGACATAATTATGAGTTACTCAAGAGCCATTCTTATAACTAGGTAAATAATCATACTTTTTAAATCTTCCCAGAAGGAGATCCCTACAGTTAGTGTCCAAAAAAAAAGTCTGTTCCAAATATGAGAATTATTCTGTTTGCTGTATGAGAATTGTTTATGTTTCCTGAACAGGGTGGATCTTCCGCATATAGTGGTGCTGAGTCCTATGGCCAGGTAATTGTTATTTGTCTCCTACGCCAAAAGCTTAAGATTGCTCTGTTGGTTCTTCTGTGCACTGGGTTCTAGGTTTCAGTTATTTTTAAGTGACCATGACCACAGAAATGCCATTTTATCTTTTGGTCCTCTTTAATTCACCCTTTTACAACTCAAATGGAGGGAAGCCCACTAACTGTGCCCTGTGACTGTTCAATGCTTTAACTAATTTATTGTTTATGCATTAGCTCATTCAAAAGGAAAACATTTTGTGCATTTAGTTTACATACTTTACTTATGCAGAACCTGTTGAAAGTACAGATAATGGGATTTCTGAATATAAAGAATTATTAACTTTGCAAATGAACTTTATCTAAAATTTTTCCTTATAAAAACGTATGTTTGCAAGGAGGGTTTTTTCCCCCAGCCTCTTCCGTTTAAGCAACAGGTGAAGTTACATATTTTTTTCTTTTCTTGCACATTCGCTGCTTTAGGTAAAATTGAAGATTCTAAGCGGTTTGTTATTTTTATTCTTTTATTTTATATTCTCCATAATTTAGAACATGTGAGAGTCCTTTTTATATGAAAGTAAATGTTTTTTTTCATTATTTTACAGGATTCGCCTTCCATAGGAGGCAGTGAAACTGCTGAGAGTGTAAGTATTTCTTCTCAACTATATCAATATCTTAATTCACTACCTCTTAAAGTATCTATTTGCTTACATGGACCTTTGCTTTAACTCATAATCTTATCTCCAAGAACTCCTTCACACTACATTCTAATCATCTGTTGTTCATCATTTTCTACAGTAACTTCTTTGAAATTGTATTTTTTCTACAGAGAATGGAAAATGTAGATCTAAATTATGTCATGCTATCGTGCTATGTATGATAAGGGCTTTGCAAATTAAAATTGCAGTTACAACAGTTCTGACTTGTAAAAATCATACATTTTTAATTGGTTATTAGAAGTAGCAATTACAAAGGAAACTCTTTATTTCACAGTTTCCATCAAAATGCAGTATTATTATGTGACTACTTCCCTCTCCTTCTGTCCCCAATTCACACTACACTTCATTTGTGTTTTTCCAATGCCAGACGTATAAGATTCAAGTTCCTTCATCTATATATTACATAGGAATGGTCTGGTTTTGTGTAGTGTGGTGAAAACTGCCTGCTTTTCTGTTTAAGAAGATGCCTTTTCTCCTGACTAAAGTATATTTCCTATAAATTCTGCTGAAGCTGTTTATAAAACTTTCCAAGTCTCCGCCTTGAGTAATTGACTGTACTTTAAATGGATTTTCAGTAAGTCTGGTCCTGGTTAGTAGGAAATTGTTTTCTGCAAATAATTATAAATTCAGCTGTGCTCTTCAGCCACAGGTATATTGGGTCATTAGTTTCAGTGTAGTTTCTGTACCAAAATCTTCTTACAGATATTCAAGAAAGCTAAAATATGATACCACAGAGGGCCCAAAAAGCCCTCTGAAAGAAAGTAAGGTATAAAAACATTGGTGTGTACCACTGAGGTCTACAAGAACCAAGACAGCTGATGCTTTGCTCTGTAACATTCTGGAGGAAATAAAATAGATTGAGATGTGATCTCATTCCTTTATATCACTATGTCAGAATTCACCTTTCAAAATAAAGAAATGCCATTCTCAGAAATGAGCAGAGAAAGAACTTGCGGGCTGCTTATCCTACACCCTACATCTTTAACCTTCCCAACAAACAGTATTTTTCTTTGCCTTCCACCCTTGCTCAGAAAAAAATAGTAATATTTGCCATTGCAATAATTCAATTCTAATGTTTTTTAGGATTCCTCCTCACCAGCTGGTAGCCGCCAGAGTGAACGGGTAAGCGCTCCTTCCTTGTGTATGTGTCTGCCCCAGGGCTTGGCAACTGCCAGACACCTAAATCCTGTGTGGAAACTGGTGTGGCAGCTTCCAGTGTGGGATAGAAAGTCCTCAAGCACAGAGGGAATGAGGATACGGCTGAAGAGTCAAAGTACTGCTAGGAACCCCAATCAATGCTGAGGTGTGCTCTTAAATATCAAACTCACATCACAAACGTGATACCACAATTTATTGTTCCGGTTCCTGTGCTTTTTAAATCACTGCTTGACTGCAAAGGGCTTCAATACCATGATTTTTGCAGCATTTATTTCAAGTGCAACCCTTTGCTTTGTTATGCTATGTGAGGCTTTCCATTTTATGGCATTTTTACATGGCACCCATTGTATTTATTCTAATGAGGATTAAGTAACACAGACTGAGAAATTATTTTGTTGGAGATATAATAATTCTTTATTTGTTGTATCCCAAAGAATATCTTCATCAAAAGAGGAATTATCAATAGTCATAAAGAGGCATGTACTGTTTTATACAGAAAGACAGATTTTAATTTTTGTTCTTGAACAAGAGAAAATTAAGGAAGGTGGAGAAGCAAGGAATGTTTAGCTTCCACCCTGATCTTTCCAGGTTTTGGTTTTTGGTTTTTTCATGTAATTTCAATACATTTTTCCAGGATTTTTATTCCCCAGGAGGCAGCCAGTCAGGTGGACATGTAAGCATCTATTTTATTCATTATTTGCAGTTCCCTTCCAAAATGGCTCTACTATTTAAAAAATTATCCAAATGAGTAAAGTGTACCAAGCCATTCATTTCCTAGAATTTCCCATGACATCTGGCATCATGTCTTGTGAAATCAAATGGCAAGCTGTTTGGAAAAAAATTAATAATTGTGTGTCTTCAACATCAGTCTTGTTTTCCAGAAGCCATTTTAAACAAAAATAAATTGCATCTGCTTTTTATAGGGATCATCTTCTCAAGGTGGTGGCTACTCGAGTGGACAGGTAAATACTAAATCTTTGTATTTTTGTCCTGAAGTATCTATTATACAAAAGTTTGAGGCCTCGTATTACTGCAATTTTTTATCTGTGAACAAGATTGATTCATTCTTCATTATATATCTCTGTGTAAAAGTCCAAGTGTAAGCAGAGTGGCCAAAACACAATTCCTGTCTTAACTGATGTTCTAACATCAGGAAAAAATAAAGTAATAAATATTTAGTCTTAATTTGTATTTTCAAAACAAAAAGTAAGCAATTTTAATTTTTTTTTCAGGACTCATCGTCATCTGGAAGCAGCCAGTATGGTGGGCAGGTGGGAAATTTTTCATTGTTGTTATTGTGAGGTTTTTTCCCCCCCCAGTGTACATATTTCCAGAAAGTATTGCAAGATTGGTAATACCTAACTTTCCAGGCTACTGTGTGGTTTATTTTAGCTTCATTAATTTTTCCATAGATAAAATTTCGTTCTTAATCAGATAGATCTTTTCAAATGTAGTTAAAAAAGACAATACATTGTAATCAAATGCACATGTCAAAATTTAAAGAAAAAATTTTAAATGAGAATATAACATTTACAGGGTTCATCTTCTTCAGGAGGCAGCCAGCCTGGTGGACAGGTATAATTTTCTTGCTCCACAGTCTTCAGTTGTGTTAGTGTCAGGCACTCACAATTATCTTTTCATATCTTTCCTCCACCAGAACTGTTTTCCTTCACCACTGTTCTTTTTGCCCAAAGCCTCAGCAACACATTTTCTTTTGCCATGTCATTTGGACATTCTGCAAGCCAGAGTAGCCAGTAGTAACTGGCTGACAGTTGTATCTGAGCTTCTGTACCTGCTTTGGTACTAAACATTTTTCTTCTTACACATCTCATGCAGATTGAATGTAGAAGGTGAGACAGTGAATGGTGAACTCCTGGCCACCTCTCAGTTAGTTTTATCACCTGTTTTCTGTATCATCTGTAACAGGACATAGTACTGCATGTACTCCAGGTGCTCTGGACTCTCTAGGAAAAAAAATTGCTTTCTGTAGTACTACTCAGATTTTTTTTTTTCTTCCTTCTGGTGAGTAAGGTTTTTAAGGTAAAGACTGTATATAAGAAAATTTGAAGATAACAAAATTAGCATTTTGTTGCTCCATCAGAGCAGTAAGTGCAGAAATAGTTGCATAGGATGAAATAAATTCATTTCTAGAAGTCGGGCAGTTAAGAATGTATCTTTATGGTTTGCACGCCTGGGATGGTAGAAGTAATTTGAGTTGGCTCTGGAGTCTATTTCAGTCCTGTGCTCTTGATATCTTAAATATTTTCTGTGTTCTTTACAGGGTGCATGTGATTGTTCTGGGGGAAGTTCTGTAAGTGCTACTTTTTCACTATACATTTTCTTTTACTAAACTATTTAACTGGAAAATTATCTGTGATCCTATTTATTTTTAACTTACTTTAATGTACTCTTAATTTTATATTCATTGTTCCTTTGGTGACTTAGATGTTTCTGATATGGTAGGGGTTATTTCTCATTATGCCAAGATGAAGAATTCAGCATTATGGAATCATCAAATCGTTCAGGTTGGAAAATGCCTCGAGTCCAACCATTAACTCAGTACTGCCAAGGCCACCACTAAACCATGTCCCTAAGTGCCACATGTACACATCTTTGAAATATATCCAGGTGTGGTGACTCAACCCCTTCCCTGACCAGCCTGTTCCAGTGCTTTATAATCCTTTCAGTGAAGAATTTGTTTCCTAATATCCAATCTAAACCTCCCCTGGACCAACTTGAGGCCATTACCTCTTGTTTATTGCTTGTTACTCCAAAGAAGGCACCACCCTCCACCTCACTATAACCTCCTTTCATGTAGTTGTAGAGAGCAATAAGATCCCCCCGACCCTGCTTTTCTCCAGGGTAAACAATATGATAGATAGATACAATATGATAGTTTTTGATTTATGGTCTTCCAGGCCAAAAAAAGACTGTTTGTTATCTTGGTAAATTGATAAAAGGAAGTGAGATGTAAGTGCAATTAATTTCAGACTGTGATATTTTTCCTTTGAAATGCTGTAGAACAGGCATTTTAAGGTTTTGTTTCATTTCCAGTTTATGATCAAAGACAAAGGCTAATTTTTCTTTTCTTTTTTTTTTTGCCCCATACAGGGTGGATCCCCTACCTTAGTCAGAAGTGATGCCTCTGCAAATGTAAGCAATCTTCTTCAGCTTTTAAGTGTGCCCTCTGTTTGGTTTGTCTCCTTTAGCTGGAGAGGTTAAAAGAGTCAGTGCCTAATAGAAGTCATACATTCGTGAAAATAACATACCTTAGTTTCAATCAAAAATATACACAGGACATTCATGCAACACTCAGCTTCACTTTCCATTTAAAATAGTTTTCATGTAAAGAGAAGTCTTTCAATGAAAAATGTTTGTCAAAAATGCAGGTACGTGACAGTATAAATATTTACTTCAGGAGTCTGTTCCATTGGCTTCTTTGGAATTCTGTAAAAATATCCCCCAAGGATATGGATTTACATGATTATATTCCTTGTAGATCATTTACTGTGAAAAAAGGTTAGTAGTATTCATTCGGTCATCTAATGTTGCTTGCCCTCTCATAGGGATAAGAACATTTTTGCAGGAGAGATCTGTTGACAGCACTCCAGTTCTGTTCACTGTGTGTTGGAAAGTCATAATGTATCTCATGGGAACTCTGTATGTGCTGCACCAAAGGGAAGAAAAACATTTGGGTCTTTTTGCATCTAGCACAGAACTCTGGCATTGTACCACGTTGTACCAGACTGCTGACTGATACAAAGCTGGCTTGGACACTGCTACAGAAATGTACCATACAAAAATTATTATTACATGATAAATAGGACTGGTCTTGTTCTCCCTTGTAGGAAGGAGGAAAGTGTATGTATCTACACTCAGGAAAATATTCTTAACTACCTCTGTTCTACATCCTTCATATTACTGTTGTTGGCATTTGTTTCCTTTGAAACTTCCAATTGGGACTGATTCTTTTTGGTTTCTTTACTGACTTGGCTGTCAGCAGTTTGGAACTGAGGATTGTACATAAAGGAGGGAACATAGTGGAGTGTCTACATCAATGAGAGCTGCAAACTGCAACAGTGCTGATGAACTGATGGCCATACTACACACATTTCAGGAATGGTCTGCTCTGGTCTGGTCCCATGGGCCAGAAGTCCATTTACTACCTGAATGCATTAAGTGTATCCCTAGAGAGCATTATAAAATTTAGTTTAATCTGAATGGCATCCAGTTAATTCACTCTGAGACCACCCCATGATAGAAAAACAAACTACAGTGAGTGGGAACTATCAGGACTTCTGTCTCAGAGGGACACTCCTGATCTGTACTTTAATGCATAGATACACCCAGTACCTCAGCACGGGAGAGCAGCTTTTGCATACTGAGTGTAGATCTTAGTTCTCCCCCAAGTACATGTTGCAGTTTACCTTTAATATCTTCTTTACAGGGCAATTGAAAAGTCATTTTACACAGTTAAGATTCATGATGAAGGACACATTTCTGACACATATTTCACATTATGTGCTAAACACAAAACAGCTTATGAGCTTAGCAGATCTTGTGGAATCTCAGAGTACTCTAAAGGTCTGTAGTACTCTGGAAGAATTAATATTAAAACTTTTTGTAAGGATGTAGTTCTTCAGTATAGTGATTTTAAACTGAAACAAACAAGCTGCCCATCCTTCATTCATACCCTCTGAAGTGAAATAACCAGTATTTCCTTTCTGAAAGGGCTCTTGAGGCAGCCATTCTGGTATACAATTACACACTAAATTTTAGACATATTAACAGAGTAGGGAGGGCTAGATTTTACATTTTGAATGGACTTTAAACCCAAGCAAAACAGTTTAAAATATAAATTTATATACTGGTATTCTTCAAGAAGTTTTGCTTTGAAATAGTTCTTTTAGAGAAAAACAACTGGTTGCTTTGTTATTTTTTTTTCCCCCAGGACTCATCTTCTTCTGGAGGCAACCAGTACAGCAGCCAAGTAAGCACTTATTCCAAAAGGAGAGCCAGTTTTTCAGATCTGAAAATGATGGTTATTCATTCACTCAATTAAATTCAGTTTCTATATGGGAACAGTGTATAAAGGGCAAAAGCTCAGTAAATAAAATTCATTGGGTTTGATATGTCCTAAAACTTATACACGAAAAGTTTTTTAGCAAATAGTGCCCCTGTTTTTGTGAAATTTGCATAATGAAGCTCACAAAAAAAAAAGTGTGGAGAAAGAATTAATCAAAATGTAGTATTTTTTATTACTAGTAGACCTAATCACATCATGAAGAAAAGCAAATCCAATTTCCTCTCTTTAAAGAAACCTCTTGTTGTATGAGGTTTCAGTAAATTTGCTAAGTTTGGTTTTCAGAGGCCTGTTGGGTAGCCAATATTTTACTGCTAGGTTTGACCCAGGACTCAGCTTTCCAAATAAAGAAATTCCATTCTCCAGAAATGAGCAGAGAAGGAACTGGAAACAAGGCCACTTTAACCTTCCCAACAAGTCACACAGACAAAGTAGTACATCTTTGCCTTCCACCCTTGCTTAGGAACTCAGGTATTTCTCCAGCTCACCTTGTAAGGCTTGAACATTAAAGCATAATGAAAGTCCTGCTCACCTGTCTTCACTCTTACCCTGCTCTCTTGCTCCTGTTGTCCTGGGAGAGTCATGTTTTGATTTAAGGAAATCCTACTGCAGGTAATTCACTCATTTGGTATTCTTTACAGGATTCGTATTCCTCAGGAGCTAGCCAGTATGGAGGACATGTAAGCTCTTACTTTTAATATTTTATATTATATATTTGTTTTATAAGTATTTGACTCATATTAATAGAAGATCTCAATTTATTATTTCAAGAAAATTGACAGTGGTCTGTATTCTGTCATAATAATGTGAATTCAAGGAATACAAAAATGCAGTTTATTCTGGGATAATTGCACACAAACAGTCAAATAACAAAATATAGATTTCTTTGCTGCTCATCTCCATGAATTAGGTATTCAGAAATAACCGATTTTCAATGTTTTTCTAGGGGCCATCTTCTTATGGAGGCAGCCAATATGGTGGACAAGTAAGCATTCAGTAGTCCCTGCTCTTGTAGTTTTGACCTATGCAAAGCTTCAGTTTATTCACTGTCTACCTGGCTGTCTATTTTAGCTTTAATTTAGTCTAAAATCTTCTCAGTAAATCTTTCTCTATAATGCTTTGGTGCCACTGTGATTAAACAAAACAAGTTCAGATGAAGATCATTATTTAAGACTAAGAAAAAATAGAATGTGAAATACATGGTTGACTCAACTCCTGAAATTTCCATGACAAAAGGTCATGTATTTCTGAAATAAGTACTTCATGAAATTAACCAAAATTTTTTAAAGCCTCGTGAAATGATTCTATGAGTCTATGAAATAGATGTAAAAAAGTTTCAGTTTCCTTTTTTATTTTCAGGGTTCACCTTCCTCAGGAGGCAGCCAATATGGTGGACAGGTGAGAATTCTTCCCTTGTGGTGTTTACTACTTCATCAGAGACATTCGATAAATGCCTCTGTGTAAAAGAACATTTTAAGGAGATTGTGGTTTTTTTGGTAATTTTCCCCCCATGTTTTTTCTAATTTGTTGCTAAGTATATAGTAATTATAAATGTATGTGATACAAAGCCACAAAAGAGTTTTTAAGATGGAATTTCTGATGCATCATGGTAAATGCAGATGATTCTTACCCATTTGTGGTTCAATCCACTCACAGTTCTGTAGTGAAAGAAACTGGATACTTCTCCCTCATGTGGAGCATGGTTCAAAGGGCTAGAATGACAGACAGAGGTCACTAAATTCTTTTTTGTTCAGGGTTCACCTTCTTCAGGAGGCAGCCAGTATGGAGGACAGGTGAGAATCTCCTCCTATGTAGTTCTTATTCTAACACACAGTTCCCACATCAAAACTTGATACTTTTATATTAACTGAAAAAACTTTTTGAGTCAACTCTGTTGATCTGATAGTTCATGATCAGGTATCTATCTGAAACAGTACAAAACCTATGTAGATCTGGTGCTTCTTGTATCACAATTAATGCAGTTCTGGCCTTGTTCTACCCTCCAGCCTGCCCTGCTGCTGTCAAGGTTTCTTAGCTCTAACAGTAAGGAGTGGCTGGAAGGAGATTTCATTCCTCCTCTACCTCACTTCCTTTGGTAAAATGCAAAATCAAAGTTGATGTCCGAGAAGCAGTATGTCTCAGAAGAGGAACAGGGCAGAAGATCAGGAGTTGCTAAGAGAGGTGTTCCATGCCCTTGTGAAATGAAAGATGATGGATAGGATTCCTAGTGCTGCCTAGAGGTATAGCCTCTAATATGGAGTGACATCCCCAACAAACTCATCCTTGGACTCAGAAAACATTGACTGTTGGATTTATTGGATAGGGGATTAGAGGAGAAAGAGATTTTTCAGTCCAAGTATAGTCTCAAAAAGTTACACATGCATCATAATAGCTCATGATCAATATTATGGAAGATTCATATGTTAAGGACACTCCCTAATTTGCACAGAACACATAAAGCAATAGGTTGAATGTCTATCTTCCTGTAATTTTTCATTATGCAACAGAGAAAGGAAACAGTCTTTCTTAAAAAAAGCTCTTAAAGAAGCTTTTTGATTTGAGAAATAATTGGCACCTTTGCTTCAGGGTCCATATTTCCCAGGTGGCAGCCATTATGGAGGACAGGTGAGAATTGTTTTTCTATTTATGGATTGTTTTTTCCATTGTTCATCTTTCCATTTTTTTGTGAAAAATTGAATACTTTGTAAAGGGGTATCTTACAGCAAAACAGTGTTTAGGCAGAACAGATGAATATATGACTTTCTGTTGTGTCAGCCCACTCTCATAAGTAAAACATAGGAGGCTGCTGTGAGCACACGATCCAGGGCAGCAGCACTACTCTCACCTGCCTAAAGCTGACTTTGATTCAAACTTCATTGTTCTGTCTAAATAGCAGCCACTGTAAAGGCCAGTGGCTTTCAGTATGGCCATAAAATAAGTGTTTGCATTCCTATGACACTTAAGTTCATGGAAGACAAATAAAAATATGTTTTTCTGTGACAGGTCATAAGTTAAATAATGTGCAACATATATAAATGCTTTCTCATTTCTTTAGGGTGTGGCTTCTTCAGGAAGCAGCCAGTACAGTGGACAGGTAAAACTTTTAACTTCCATAGTACCTGCACTTTGGGTACACAGTTAGAAAAACATTAGGAAAATGGACCTGTATTTTTTGCAAAAAAGGAACATTATAAGAAAGAATGGCTTTAAGCCAGGCTGAGTGAGGATTGCTAAGTATAGGTGTGACCAGTATGTCAGATCATGGTATGAGCAAATGATACAGGGGCCTGTGTGACTGCATGGAAATGCTTCTTTAACAGATCATGGTTCGAGAAGCCCATTTTTTGTTGTTACGTTTAAACAGAAGCAATTTGAAAGACTGAGGACCACAGAGAATAAGTGAGAATGTTACTCAGTAACACAGAAATAATTAGTTACTCATTTTTTCCAGGGCTTTTCTTCAGGAGTCAGACAGTCTGGTGGACAGGTATGTCCTTCTTTCTCAGCAATGTTCGGTTCTGTCAGTGTCAGGCACTCACAGACTGCTTTGTGTAGCTTTCCTTCATGAGAACTGCTTCCCTTTACACATTTCATCCAGACTAAATGTGGAAAGTGAAACACTGAATAGTAAACCCCTAACCACCTCTTACTTAGTTTTATCAGAGTAGAAATTACCTAATAAGCCTCAACTGGAAGACATCTTTAGTGTTTCCTGTAACATCCGTAGCATGAAAGAGTACTGTATGTATTCACAGAATCATAGGATATGCTAGAGTTGGAAGGGACCCATCAGGACCACAGAGTCCAACTCGTGGCCCTGTGCAGGACACCCCAAGAGTCACATCATGTGCCTGAGGACATTGTCCAAACACTTCTTGAACTCTGGCAGGCTTTGTGCTGTGACCACTTCCCTGGGAAAATTCTAGGTGCTCTGGTCTCCTCAGGGGAAAAAAAATAAAATCTGTATTACTACTCAGAATCTGCTACTCATCATTTTAAGAGGTTTTAGTGTAAATTTTAAATGAGAAATTAGAAAATTCTATTTAAAAAATTGATGAGTAACTGCACAGCTAGCCTGAAAAGGGCAGTGGAGGCAGAAAGAAACTACTTTTTAGATGGAGCCTGGGTAGTCTATGAGCAGGATTTTATAGTCCATTTGCTTACAGTTAGCAGAATGTGAGTTTGATTTACGAATTCAGAGTCCTATTCCAATCAGAGACCCAGGAAAGTAAGTTTGGTTGTGTTTTGTACAGGGTGGGTGTGTATGCCCCGGTGGAGGTCCAGTAAGTATTCTTTGTCTTTATATATTTTTCATAGTATGTACACATACTGGAAAATTCCCAAGGAACTACATTTCTTGAAATAATTCTGTCTGTGAAATTCTATGTATGATGGAAGTTTTCTTCACATTATGCTAAAATGAACAATTTTGAACCTGCTAAAGACAAAAATATTAAGTGACTTGCAACTGTAGTAGTGTATTCAAAACTAGCTACTCAGTTTGTGAGAGAGGCCTGGGACTTTTCTATAAATCTGTTTCCCAAATATTTCATTGGGTTTTGGACATGTGTGTGTAACAGTGCTGCTCTTATGACGGTTATTAACAGTATGATGCAACTAGTGAAACTTAGATCTAAAATCATGTCCCCAAATGCTTTCAGATTGGAGCAGAGCAACGCATTTAAAAAGTTATATATTTCCATTTTTTCTGTCTAATTAGTATATTCATTATACTTTTGTAAATACTTTAAAAAGAAACAAACAAATTCCCCCCAACATCTGAGAAACCCCACTCCACTGGTTTGCTGAGATCAAGCTAATTTACTTCCAAGAGATGGTTCAGCGATCTGTTTGCTCAGTATAGTCAAAATTGCTTAGATGACTACTTCTCTTTCCTTGATTACATAATCAAGCAAAACCACATGCCCAAGTATACAACTCATGACACCCATGCAAATTCTGGGAATCAAAAGTGTCAAAAATAACCTAAAAATTAGAATTTATATAAATAGAAATTATGTTATTTTATAATATATTATCACATATATATATTATATATATTATATAAACATAAATTATTTGACATATAAATCACAATGAATCAAAACTAAATCTTTTACTTGTTTAATCAAAAGAATAGTAGTAATCAGTGTAAATTACTTGATCATTGCAATTGGTCAAGACGTTGTCTTGCTTCTCCTCTATGTGACATTGAATTTAATACAGAGTAAACACTTCTATTTCTGTTGAACACAGGGCTCTTTCGGAGGAGCCAACTATGCTGGTGGACAGGTAGGCAGTTTGTCTTTAACATTTACACAGATTAGTTCCTCAGGAACTATTCCTCAGGAATAAACATGGCTCAGTTGCCATATTTGCCCAGAATCCATCAAATATTGAGTTCAGTTTAGTCACAGAGATAAGGACAATAATTCCAGAGAGTGTATGGGGCTCTTATTAAGTCACTTTTGACATTTCAGTTATATCTTCCTATGAACTAGAGCCAAGATCTTACTTTGTAGTTATAGGAGCTTTCTTACCTTGAAAAATTACTGAAGAATCATTCACAGGGTTCATCTCACTGCCTCAACCATTAACATGATGTGTGGATAACTAGTCATTTGCCACTGATTAATAACTGTGTAAAGTTCTTCAAGTTAATCAATGTCAGGAGTATTGTTTATATTAGGCCCAGGACTTTTTAGTGACATATTCTATTTAGAAAACTATTTATGAAAATTTCCCGTTCTTTTTACAGGGTTCATCATATTCTGGAAGCAATCAGTATGGTGGACAGGCAAGCACTTTTTCTTTGTTTTCAAGATCTTCTTTCTACTTGCTAGTTATTAAAAGAAAAATATGATGCAGTGCATATACTGTTGGTTTTTCAGAGACACTCTTAATAAATATTTGAAAACAGGGACCATCTCTCAGTAACTGAAATGGAGTAGCACAAACAAACTTCAGTTTAAAGAAATTCCACAGATCATAATTCTAGTTGTTTTACCTCAAAATGCCTCTTATCTCAAGTGACAATTTTAATTAATCATTTTTATGTTTCAGTTTCACATTGCTATGATGCCAGTTCAAAATATATTTTCTATGTTATTTTTCAATTATATTGAAGTTATCTTTTTTTTTAAACTTGTTTAGATTGAATATTTGAAAAAATTTGGCACAAAATATACCAATAGATATTGCTTTGAAAATATAAATTCTGGTGTGTTGCACCCAATAATACTACTTTCCTCATCTTCAGCTGCAGTTCAAGTCTCTTACTGTAATCAGCTCCCTGAGTACCTTCTCTACACTTAGTAGTTTGTAACTGATTCTGAAATCTTACTACTGCAAGTAGTTGACAGATGTAATGGAGGGCTGTCTAATAAGATGGAGCATATTTTTCATTAGTATTATTGTGTTTGCAATGTTTCACTCTGCTACACTTAAAAAAATAATTTCTTTTCACTCCATTGCCAAGCAGTTGAGTTCAGTATCACTCTACAAAGAAGATAATCTCTTGTAGCATGGAGAGGATTTTTAACAGCTGCAAATCAATCTTGTTCCCAATTACCTATTTGGAATCATAAGTATATTTTTACAATAATAGACACGATGCTCTCTGAACACATCTGATGTAGCAGAAAATCACACATAAAGTAGATTTTTTTTTTCTCTTGAAAGCCATATGTAAGACACTTTAGATCCATTTATTTATGTAACAGAACAGTCTTAGCAGGTGGTTTGTGACTGCCCAATTTAGTACTTTCAGCTGTTAAAGAACTTAGAGGCATTAAGTCAAGGTCTTTCACTGAATCTTTTTAGATTAATATACTTTCCAGATTGTTACAGAGATCTCCTGTTAAAAGTCATTCTGTGATGTTTCATTCTGCATAGGAAAAAAAAAGTAACTGCTGTTAAATTCTCATATTCTTTTTAATAGGGATCTTATCCCTCAGGAAGCAGCCAGTATGGTGGGCCGGTGAGTATCTTTCCATCCCATCCCTCCTAGCTTCTTCCTAACATACTTTCTAGATCAGGTCAGTTACTTGATGCTGAAAGATACATTAATTTGGCCATTTTATAAAGCCTAAATAGTTGAGGTAATACCAATTGGTCGTTTCAGCAAGGTGAATAAAAGATTTGGTTCCAATGAATTACTGCTCTGTGTAAAACATTCCTTTGAATGTACTATAACCACCAAACTGTATTTCATAACACTGCTCTCTTAGTTCAAATTGCCACTGGTTTGGTGTGCAGTATAGAGATGAAGTTTTAGGTACCCCATTTACTGTTTTTGTTCAAACAACATCCACATAAGTTTGTTCTAAGTACTGCACAAATTGTCTCAAGACAATGACAAAAGACTTTTCCTTCAATTAATAGATGTTGCATTGACTTCTTACAGGGCTCATATTCTTCTGGAGGCAGACAACATGGTAAACCAGTAAGTCAAAAAATTCAAATTTACCTTTCTTTTTTCTTATATACCTGTTAAAAAACCCGTATCTAGTTAGTTATGGGCCAGACAGTTTTCTGAGAATTACTTCAATATGCAAAGAGTTTCACATGATTTAGTCATCTGGGATAATCTCAACAAATGCAAACACAATATTTATTTTCACACAGTTCCATTGTTTAGAGACAGCATTTTACTATGTAACTGAACTTCTGGTAATCACAGAATGAGATCACAGGATTTTATTTTTAATTTGTTTGTTTGTTTAACAAACTTCTGAATAGTTATTTCTGTTTAAATTCATAATAATCATACACTTCCTCCTCAGGGCTCAGTTTTTCATTGATTTTAAATGCATTTGTCCTAACTATTTCTGGCTTGCTTTGAAGAAAGTACTTACTTTTTCTTTTTGAAGGATGCAATAGTTGCCATTTAACTGTGCATATTTTCAACTTCTCCCATTTCAGACTACTATTTTTACTATGTAATTTGGACCTTGCTCTTGTCCTTCAATGGCAGGAGATACCAATAAGCACACACAATGTTTTAGCTTATCTCTTATAGAAAAGAAGGTGTACCTGTTATTAAAAAGTGGGCATAAATGTTACCTTTTCTAATACATGAATCATAAAGGTGAGACACTTTGTGTCCTGTATTTGATGTCCATTAAGTATTCAATGCTTGGTAACATTTCCTATTGGCAATGCCATTCAAATGAGCAGAGCCACTTTCCCAGAAAGCTGGATGGTTGATTTTTCTATATCCATTTTTTTTAGAGTTACCTTTCTTATTAGAGCTTTCTTCAAATAGCAGCTGCAGAGTGAAGGACTCTACATTTGCATTTTTTGGTGGTGGTGTCCTTTTTTTCCCCCAAATGTAAACATAGATTGATACCAGGCAAATTAATGTTTCATTAGACCTTATTATTTTTTCCATTCCATATATTAAACACATCACAACTACAAAACAGTTCTTTCTTCTTGAGAACACTGTATCAAAATTTCCAATACATCATTTGAAAGAATACTTGTTACAAAACGATGTTAAATATTTGTATTTCAGACAAGGTTTTCCCTGGGATTTTTAGAGGACTGGACACAAGATAGTGTTCGTTCTCCTGTGGTCCTTTATTCCAGATAGTGAGAACATATAAGTGCAAATAGACAGAGTCAAAAACAGGTATCTTTTTTCAGGGTTCATCTTCCTCAGGAAGCAGTCATCAAGGAAAGCCAGTAAGGATATTCTTCTTTCAGTATTCTGCAACCAAGTTAGAAATGTGGATATTGGTTTTTAAAATAGATAACAGTAATGAGGGTGAAATTTAAAATTAGGTTACAACGGTAAATGTCTGAAAAAAATTACCAAAAAGATTGGAATATTTTGTTCAAACTTGAACCTTAGGATGAGGCAGCATTTATTCCTCCCATAGCAAAGTTTTTATATACTCTGTCACTTATTCATAGGAGTATGTTTGGATCATTCTGATAAGAATGATGTATTTAAATATCCGGGTAACTGTTTCAGTTTCAAACTCTGCAGTTCAGTCAATGGCACATTGCTTTGACACATTCCTCTGAAACTGTTCATGGAATAAAGAGGACATAGCTGTGCTTACTCAAGACCATTCAATTAAAATAGAGGAGGAAAGTGCAACAAAAATGGTAAAATCAAAGTCAATATCAAATCTAATGCTATCCAGGGCATTTTCATGACTGCTGTGTGCTCTTTGGACACTGTTCACTTGGAGTCTCATACTACAAAATTAAATGGTTTATAATTATTTTACAGGGTGGCTCTGGCTCAGGAAGCACTTATTCTGGAAAACAGGTAAGAATACTTTCATCACAGCCTTTTCATCTTCTTTTTTTAGTAAAGAAACCTGGGTGGTAGGTAGAGCAATTTTAGGATGATTTGGTCTTAAGAGAACATTCTGTATTAGTTCCATTTATATTAGAGCATATTTAAAGAAACCACTGTGGAAAGTATGGCCTCAGCCTGGGAAAGCAATTTCAGTGTCAGTTATATTTTAAATCTAAATCTCTCTTGTTTCAGATTTCAGTTAGGGGCCTTGTTACATTTTTCTGTCCTCTGTTTTTTAAATTCTTGTTCTCTGTGTAGATTTTATAGACTGTACTCAGTTAATCCTTCACTTTTTTTTTTTTTTAGTAAGCTAGATTCTTGAGTTTTTTGCTGGCAGGTTACCTGGTTTCGCACTTCATTTTTTTGTTTTGTTTTCAGTACTCATCAATTTTTTAACGTCCTCTTTCAATTATAGAGATGGGAAACTCTGTATCAAATATGATAAGGGAATGAGAGAAAAATAGACTTTTGTCTTTCCATCAGTTTTAGCTGAAATTTTCAGATGTACCACGAGACAGAGTACATAACTAAAACTATTTGCTTTATCAATGCAAAGCAATTTTCCTCTTGAACAAATTAAACCCATGCTGTGGGTTAAGGTAATCAAAACTTTTGCAGACAAAAACTGTTTTCAAAACCATTGTGTGGGAACACTTGTAGATTTATTTGTTTATTTGTTTTCAACAGTCACCTTCCTCTGGAGGCAGTCAAGTGGTAAGCACTTTTCTTCTTTGTAGGTTCTACTGGTTTCTTCCTATACCTATCACAGAAAACTGAAACAGTTGTTTATACTGTGAGGTATCTATCAAATTTCCTGTATCTGAATAACCATTTGAGAAGACATGTGCAACATAATAAATGGGAATAGTATCGACAAAAATGAAGAAAAGTGGGACCACAGAGGTGTTTTCCACGTTTGTCCCTGCCTATCACTTGAAAACTGAACACCTGTTGATTTACGGGCACTATGGATGTGACACATGATCTTTTTAACATCAGAAGTGCCTACATAATAGAAGGGGCCAATAGGAAAAGATTTCTCTGAAACTTTCTATGCTTTTATAATAGTGATAAATAGAACTATTTTGAAATCGGTTTATCAAATTTCTCTCTTTTTTTATAGAGCTCTGCTGGGAAACACTCCACTCCCCAACTCCTGATGTTATTCAGTGTTTTGAGTGCCTTTGCTCTCTCTGCTGCCACATCAAAATGGTCTATATGAACCTCCGAAGAGCTGTTTGACAACCTAAACATGGATTATATTCCATATTATTAGATTAATTACTTAATGTAAGAAAAAAAATATCCTTAAGTCAAATTGTCAGATGCTACTTGGCTGTTATGTTGCATGTCTAGCTGATATGTCATGCCTTTCATTAGTTTACCTCTGGTTTTAGTCATTAGTAGATATCATTAGTTTTGTCAGTGTTTTAGGCATCATTTTAAGAGAGCATATTGTACCCCACCTGTATGATTTATTTGTATTTCTGACAGGGAATGTGATAAACACCTGCCTGAAATGACTGGTGTGACAAATGAACACTTAGAAAGTATTTGGTTATTAACCAAAGTGGACGAGGTCAAATAAATCGTTATAGATGCGAGCTGAGCACTGTGCCTAGTTATTATCACATAAAATAAGGCCAGCATAAACATCTGATAAGCAGTTCTCCATGGGACAGAACAAAAGATGCTAAAATAGTATCAGAGTATTGGTTTTAGTCTATTTTAATCAGATGTGAGTTCAATAGGGAGAACTGCAAAGCAAAAAAAAATACTCCATGGGACTGAAATTTTGGGGAGTTAACTAAAGTTTATTCATTAAAAAAGCGTAACAGCTCAGAGCAAAGAAATGCTCAACTCTGTTCAAACCAATGGCAAATGTCTAGAGTTCTGTAGAGAGGCATAGGAGGCAAATATAACCCAGATTAGGCTGATAGCCTAAAGCTGCTGAAAACCAAGGCCTTTTCCCTTGAGAAGGAATGGAAAATTAATTAAATTCATAAAACTGACAAGATCTTGGCTCCTTTTTTCAAGTATTTAGTCTAACCTGTGATACCTGAAATATCTGACAGTTTAATTTCAAGAATGATGCTGACATCTGCAAGCAGGTACAGTCAGTGTGGTCACTGAAAGATCATGGCCCCTTTTTGAGTTCAGGAGCAGTTCCACACTTTGAAGCAAACTCTTTTGGAGCTGCCAGAGCCTTCTGTTTGGTGTTAACAAAGTGCATTTCCCTAAAGCATACTTCTAATGAATGTCTTATAAAACACATACCTACTGTTAAAATTACCTTTATTAGTAGTGTGCTTGTCTCTCATGGTTTGTAATTGGTGGGACAGGTTTCTGTTCCAGTTCTGTGGGGCCTGGATTTCACCCAGTTTTGATGTGCTACGCTGTCCTTTGCCAACCATTGGGAAATCAACTCCTAATTTAAGCATAAAGTTTTGCCTAAATATGATCTTCAAAATTTGGTGGCCAATTCGCTTCTTTGCCCAGCGTAGTGCCTTTCTCTATGGCAGGTCCGCACCTGCATCCGAGCCAGCCTTGCCCCTCTTACAAATCCGTGTCACAAGTGCCCCTTTATGCCGCCCGCGGGACCCGGCCCGCGGGGCGCTCGCTGGGAGGTGGCCGGGGCTCCAGCCCAGGGCTCAGCCTCCCCGCCCCGCGGGGCCCAGCCATGCCCTGCCCGGGGCCCGGCCCGGCCCCGCCGCTCCCGCCTGGCCCGGCCCGGGCGGGGCGCGCTGCCGCCGCGGCCCTGGGAACGGAGCGGGCGGGGCTCGGCTGCAGCCGGAGCCTTTGCGGGACGGGACCGCGGCGCCCGGAAGCCCCGGAGCTGAGGGAGCCGGGCCGGCGGCGAGGGGCGAGCGGGGCCCGGCGGGCGCAGGTGGGAGCAGAGCCCGGCCGGGGCCGCCCCGCGGAGAGCGGGGCCGTGCCGGAGGGAGCGAGCCGAGGGAGGCCTGTGCTGCGCGAGGAGGAGGCGTTCGGGGTCGGTGGATGGGGCGGGAAGAGAGTCTGCGGGAGCAGGCTGGGGAGGGGAAGGGTGGGATCGGAGAGACGCTGAGAGAAATGTGTGGGTATGGAGCGGTTCGGGCAGAGGGAGGGGAGGGCGCAGGTGAAGTCTCCGCGGGGAGGCGGCTGTGTGTGAAGTTGGGAGGGGGCGCGGAGCTCGTCGGAGCTGTGTTGGTGTGCCGAGCTTGGCGCTCAGGGCGCCGCTGGGGCTCTGCTGAGAAGATGCTCAGTGATGCAGAGCTGCGTGTAAAGTTATCAGAAATGCACACTTTACAAAGTATTTGCGTGGTATCACGATTTCATACCAGGTTTTTGAAATGAGAAACGCTCTAGCAGTACAGCGCTTGTGGATTAAGTCAGAAACCCAGAGGATGCAGAGATAATGAATGTAATAATGCATATTATGGAATAAACTGGAAGGTAAAAGATAAATGCCAGAATGTACGGCAAGTTGTTTCATTTTATTGAATCCCATAAACTGTGTTTTAAACCACAGTGAGGAAGACAGGTTCCAGAGAAAAGCTTTTAAAGGAATGACTGGGTGGAGTAGACTGACACAGCTTTCAGCAATGGAGGGCTGTGTTATTTGGGACATAAAGAACATACACAACAAACCTTTCTAAAACTGAGTGAGAACCACAGTGGGAAGTTTATTTGTCAGGTGGCCTCTACACAGAGGGGTTGAGATCTAAAACAATGTTTACTTTTCAACAAACGTGCAGAATGACAAAATGGGTCTTAGAATGAACATTTAGTGATGGACTGGGGGGTTGCCTTTCTCCGTAGGCACTGCACTTGACTCACCTGAATTCTGTGTGTGCACTGAGGCTGCAGGTGAGTGTGAGGGAGGTGACAGTTGTGAAGAAAGTGATTTATAATAACCTCTTCCTTTAGAAACTGAAGCTTGTTATTCCCTTGTACATCGTTAGGCATTGTGAGAACTCATGATTTAAAATCACATGTGGGATAAGGATCCACTGGTTTGGGGATGTGTGATGTTCTCGTTTGTAGAAGTAATATGTGCGGCAAAAATACCGATTTTGGGAAAGGCTGGTTGTAGTAAGTAGAAATTTGCATTTTTTAGAGTGGTGTATTCTTAGGAGTGACTCTGTCTAACAATCCTACAGGCTGCCTACATGACCTAATTCCTTGTGCAAGTTACACTGGTGTTTGCAATAACAGGAAAAAGGCAGGGATCATCTGAACCAAGTACCTTTGGGATTCAAGTCACATGTGTCTGCTTAAAGCAGTTCTGGATTTGGCAGTCTTAAGTGAGGACAACACATCCTTATCTTTGGGACAGGCTTGCTAGATACAGTGATTCCTTCCATATTATTCTTGAATTGCTTGCGACCTGGGCTCATTCTTCACGAGTTGCTTCAGTTCACACCAAATGCCTGCTGCTTGCACGGGCTCCGGGCCTTGACTGGAACTCAGAAGACTGCACAGCTGAATCACATCAATGGAGAGTGTCTCTAGAGGGGAGGAGAGGTTCTTAAGATCTGTACTTCTTAGGATCTAGTATAATAATGTCAGATGGTTAGGAGTTCAGGATTTTGCCACTGGGGTTTTGAACCTTGTCCTTTATATTTATACCCCTTCAATACACTGTTCAGCTGTCTAATTTTATTTGCAATTGCTAGCTTTCTACAGTGTCTACAGATTTATCTTCACTGTAGTATCTAGCTTGGGTACTCTACTCCAAGTAGGTCACCTTTATTGAGGGTACCTGCGTTGCCTTGAGCACCCAGACTTGATTTGTAATTCATAAAGGCACAAGCGTAAGCTGTGGCTGAACCCGAACTGGATTAAATGTTCGGTCTCCCAGCACCTTATATCAAGCTCTGTCATTGGCTTGATACATCTGCAGGAGTTGCACTCCAGCAGTCCTTCAGTTCATGGCATTGCACTCCTGCTGGAGGAGGGATGGGCATTTGAACTAAAACTGAGAACTGAACGTCTCCTTGCTCACAGAGTCTGGATGTGACTGTGATCTATCTATACTGTGATCTATACAATGAATGCAGTGTGTGTACTGTGTGAATGAGTGAGAGGCACTTCAGGCAGGTTGTATCAAATTTCTGTGCTGGCAGGCAGAGTTTGGCTTAATGACTGCTATGTCAATATAAAACTATTGCAGTACTGTGTAGAGTTGAAGGCTTCATCTTACAAGAAATGCTGGTGTTAACATTTAGCTCAGTGAGGGCCTGAATTTCCAGAACGCTGAATATTTATACTCAATATGTCATTTGTATAATATTCATCAAACCAAATTCTCATCAGAAAAAAAATATCTGAACTTTGGCGTCTTAGGTTTGGTGTAAAGGATAAAGGGGTGGGCTTAAAGAGCACTTAGCCACAAATCTCACATTTAAGATTCATAATGCCCAACTCTTCCTGTCTGATACATAGATTAGAAAGGTGATTTTTTTTCCTGTGAAAGAAAGAAAGAAACAAACAGAAAACCTTTGCGAGATCATAAAAAAACTCAGTGAGGTTCCCTTTCTGCTAGGTTTTCTGTCAACCTGTAAGAAAACCTTACCTGATTCCCAAGCAATTTATAGCATTCTCTGAAATTGGACTTCAATTAATAGTTAATATGTAATTGCATTCCTTTTGTTAACTTGGCAATGAGGGAATTTCCTGGTTGTGTGATAAGCCAGTGAATCACTGATACAGCCTCCACTATCTTTGTAAAAAGCTGAGGTTTTGGAGCAAAGTTTAAAAGAAATCATTGGTTGATCTTTAACAGTTACCATTTAATGTGTAACTGCTCTGTGCTTAAGTGCACTTGCCAGTTCTAAGAAGCATCTGCATGATTTTAAAATGGCCAAGTGTTGTGGTTTAACCCCAGCTGGCAATTAAGCCCCACACTGGCTCACTCTCCATAGTGGGATGGGGGAGAGAATCAAAAGGGTAAAAGCGAGAAAACTTGTGGGTTGAGACAAAGACAGCTTAGCAGGTAAAGCAGAATCCACACATGCAAGCAAAGCAAACCAAAGAATTCATTCACCACACGCAATGGGCAGGCAGCCACCTCCAGGAAGGCCAGACTCCATGCCTAACGGTGACCGGGGAAGACAAACACCATCACTCTGAACATCCCTTCTTTCCTTCTTCTTCCTCCAGCTTTATAAGCTGAGTAGACTCCATATGGTATGCGATATCCCTTGGGTCAGCTGGGGTCAGCTTTCCTGGCTCTGTCCCCTCCCAACTCCTTGTGCACTCCCAGCCTCCTCACTGGTGGGGTGGGAAGCAGAAAAGTGTAAGCACTGCTCAGCAGTAGCAAAAACATCCTTGTGTTACCAACACTTTTCAGCACAAATCCCAAACACAGCCCCGTATCAGCTACTATGAGGAAAATGAACTCTACCCAGCCAAAACCAGCACACCAAGATAGGGCTGTGGCAAGAGAGATGACGTTGCAGGAGCAAGGTCCGCCAGTCATCTACTGTGTTGTACTTGATATCCTTGTCGTGAAAGTTATTTGAATGCAGTTATGTTTTTAATTTGTTTTCACCAGTTAAGAATTTTTTTTTATGTCAGTGGAGAAATTGGAAATACTACCTGAAGGAAACCTTCATGTGAAAAA